GCTAGAAATTAGAACTGAATTTAGAAACAAATCTTTGCGCTTAACAAACTAAATAAATTATTTATAGGCTAATTGATGTCTGTGCGTAAAGGTTTCCCTATCCACGAGAGCAAAAGCGAAGGTGAACTTACTTTACGTCAAAATGCGCTCTTGGAGCAACGCAGCTGGCTCTTAAAGGGAATGGGAGATGAGACTCTGATTGGTTTATTCTCAAAACACACCTATAACTCATTAAGAAAATAAACTCAACCCTTTTAGACCATGCGCCATGGCGCAAAGCAGATTTTCCCGTCCTTAAATTAGCAAAAATGCGTTCTGACGCCCTGAAAGCGTTTGCGTCTTGCGTTTTGTGCTCTGCACATGGACCGTCAAAATAGAGCCCTAAGCCGAAGGAAAAAGAATGAATCAATTACAAAAAAAAAAAACGTATTCTTCCACCAAACAATGTAGTACCTCTGAAACAGTGGTTGCTGAGCAACATGGATGTCCAACACACACACTGGCAAAGTGATATTGATGTAATGAGGTCACAGGTGTTTCGAGTCATTTACAACAGCGTAGAACCCTGCTCGACCAATCAGAATCAAGAAACGGAGCTTTCCATTTTATAATCTGAATTATACTGTGAAATCACTGCAGGTCACACCATTTGATGCCAAAACGAGACAAATTAGTTGAGATTTTCCTCATTGCGTGGATTAATTTGATTCTCTTGCATCTGCTTTGCTGGTTATATATAAATGGAGTCAACTGCTTTAATGAGTTTGCTGGTTTCACATTGAGACTTGAGAATTTAGTGGAGCCCAGTGGTGAGAAATTGAAATCACTTAAGCTTAGCCAGGAAGTGCACTTTAGCTCAGGTTTGTCAGTTCAGGATTTGAAGTTATGTGTCCCTGCTGTTCGTATGAATAATATAGTAGCAAGCAAACACTCCTGTGAGCCCCGGCGGCGCCATTCGCTGCTCAGAAGATGCACAACGTGCTGAGGGTCAGATAAGAGCCCATTAAACTAATAGTTTACTCGGAAGTGGAAAACATCTTTCATAATGTACCACCACTTTTAAAACCACTTAAGGGAAGCTGTGAAGAATATTAAAATCTGTTGTTAAGCTATAATTATTGAGCTTCAATTATAGTCTGACCATTTGTTTCCAAGTTTGGAGCGTTAGTTTTTTTCCTGTTGACGTTGGCTTGACGGCTTCAGGCACTATATTCTTAACCACGCACTTCTTACCATTAGTTTGCTATGAGGGAATGATGCACTGAAGTAAAACCCGCTCGCTAATCGATATAACTTTACAGCTGAAAGAACATCAACACACTGAAATAAAAATCTCAGCTATTTACGGTTCATGCCGACTATTTCAGTGGAATAACTTGAACAGATGAATTGTTCTAGCTGCTGGAATCAGCTTTCAGAAATGATCAGATGTTCTCCAACATTAGGCACATTCAAATCAAGACTGAAAACACATCTGTTCAGCTGTGCCTTCACTGATTGAGCACTGTGCTACGTCCGACAGATCGCACTATTATATATTATATATTTTTTTATTCTTGTTTATGTAAAGTACTCTGAATTGCCACTGTGTACGAAATGTGCTTTATAAATAAACTTGCCTTGCCATGCCTAATTCACCAGAACATGTTGTTTTATCGTGACCAAGTGAATTAACTCAGTAATTAAGCTAATAAAAAATAAATAAATCGCAAGTGCCGCTAAACAAATTTTCCAGTTCCCACACATCTATTTTTAGTCGCAAATGCGAGCGAAATGGTCGAACTGTCAAGCCCTGACCAAAATACATAGTTAGACCCTCAAATGCCAATTAAAACTGCACCTAGCCAAAAGGAAGCCCTATGTTAACAGTGTCCAAAAGCGCCGTCGGGTTCTCTGGGCTCAGAGGCATCTGGGATGCACCATCACCAGGTTTCAACCTCCCGCTCTCCCTCAGGAAGCCAATACGGAAGTAACTAAAACTGCAATTCAGCCGAAATTTTGCTAGTCCTGGCCGCTCCTGGCTCCAAAATAGAGCAAATTTCAATTGAGCCCACTGTTAGAAATGGCCAACTTTACAGCAGAAAAAAGGTGTTTACAGCCTGGTACAAAAAAAAGATTTTGGTTAATACAGCTAATATTACCCTTCATGACAACTGCGAGGGGGGTGAATTTTTTTATAACTCATCCGTTTCCTTTATATTAAGTTTGCATTATAAAGGGTGTGGCCACTTGAGTGACAGCTAGGTCTCGTTGGTCGCCGTCACGTGACCTCAGCAGAATCCTGCAGATTAACCACTGAACTCGGCATATTTATCGTATTTCTGTGTTGTTTTTTGTGGCTTTACACAATCAACTGCCTTTTTGACTTGTTTCCTACAATTATTAGATGACATGGCATGCTGAGTGCACTTAATTGTGCTCACAAACCATTCACGTGGCCTCCGTTTGCCATGTGAGTAAAGTTATATACTTATATACCATCTCTATAAATGTATTTGTTTTATTTAAGATCATTTATCGTTTATATTTATATTCACAGCTGTAATGCACTCCAGAATCTGACAAATTAATTAACGATAGCTGTAGGCTCTAGAACAATCATCTGAAGCGTTATTGTCATACAGTGTTATGCTGGATTTCATCAATAGTCCTGCATTTACTAACACAGACTATGGCCTCTATTTTGACGGTCCATGCGCAGAGCGCAAAACGCAGGGCGTGTCAGGACGCATTTTTGCTAATTTAAGGACGGGGAATCTGCCTTGCGCCGCGGCACATGGTCTAAAGGGGTTGAGTTTATTTTCTTAATGAGTTATAGGTGTGTTTTGAGAATAAACCAATTAGAGTCTCATCTCCCATTCCCTTTAAGACCCAGCTGCATCGCGCCAAGAGCGCATTCACTATTTACAGGACGCAAAGTAAGTCTAAGTGGAAAAAATTAGCATTTCACTAGCAAACAGTTAACAGTTTTTTTTAACAGAAAACTGTTAAACAGAGCTTCTACGGCGTGAGAATGAGAGATAAATGATCTACCTTCACTTTCGCTCTTGGATAGGGAAACCTTTACGCACAGACATCAATTAGTCTATAAATAAATAAATTTGTTTGTTAAGCGCAAATATTCGCTTCAAAACTATTCCTAAATTCAGTTCTAATTTCCAGCAAACGAATAAATGAACAATAATGACCAAGTGTGGTCAAAATACTGAGTTATTTCCAAATACACCTGCCATGCCCAGACAGGTGGGCAAATCTAAGCTTGTTTTTAATAAAACAAATATAAATATGGATATATTAAATAATACTGCTAATAATAATAACATTATACAAAAGCAAATTGTTATGAATGAACTGAAAAAGCCTCCCGAGATGAAGAAGACATAAAAGCAGTGATTTTTCATATTTATGTAGGCTAGAAAATAATATGTTTTGTAATATTTTAATCCTTTATATTTATATCCTATATCTATTCTTATTATATCCTATATATATCCTTAATATTTAAATTTTTTCATATGTAAAGATATTTGCCTATTGCTCTCTTGTGTGTATTAAGCAGTGTGTAAGCGAGGCGCAACTCTGCGCAGGAGTTTAGACCGGGTTGGTTTTGGTCTAATGAAAAATTTATTTTAGTTTCTCAAAATAGCAACGCGCCAGCGGTCCGCGTCAGAACGCCTTTCTTTTTAGACCAGAACACCTATGGGCGCACAAATGAGTGCTAATGCATTTGCTATTTAAACAGTGTAGCGCAACGCCTCAAAACGACTCTTGCGCCAAGCTAAAACTAACAAAAGACTATTGCGCCGCGTCTTGCGCCGGGTGTATGATAGGGCCCTATATCTGAAGTGTTTGGAAGTAATTTGCGTTTTCCTCCTGTTGAAAAACGTCATAAGTCAGATCAATGCTTAGAGGCTTAATGTATCACAGCAGTGTTTTTAAAAGTCTAAACACTTTATTGATGTAGTATACAGCCAAGCACAAGTGGTCAGAATACAAACGAGTCACAGGTGATAAAGTATTAAGCGTTCTCCCAAAGTAAAGTGTGTCTGAACCAGGTCCAAGCAAAATGCCTGCAGTGTCTGTTGCTCCGCTCACTCTCCGCCTCTTTGCCCTTGTTTGGTATCCCGCCTTGGGTGTGATGACGCGCGAACAAAATGGCGACGGTTGGCCGCGCCTACTTGTGGCTTCTTTTGCGTTTTTTAGAAACCTATGGGTGACGTCACGGATACTACGTCCATAAATTTTACAGTCTATGACCATCACACAGTAGAAATGTGTACTATGGTCAGATAAATCAGTACTTCAGGTTTTTTTTTGCTCATCTTAAGACTTGTTTTCATGAAGAATGGGGAAAAATTACACCTGTAACACTTCATCACTTGATGTCTTTAGTCCCTAAACATCTTTTAAATGTTACAAAGTTGTAAAAGCTTCTACTGTTCCAATGTGCAAGAACCAAAATTGAAATACATGTTTATTTTGAAAAATAAATAAATAAATAAATTAAATTAAAAAAAAAAAAAAAAAAAAAAAATATATATATATATATATATATATATATATATATATATATATATATATATATATATATATATATATATATGTATTTATATATATATATATATATATATATGTATTTATATATATATATATGTATTTATATATATATATATATATATATATATATATATATATACCATGAGGAACACAGTAAATAATGTTTGTTGTATTGTCTGCAATGAAATAAAAGTCAAAGTAAATTTTGAAATCACTACTTTCTTTTTAATTTGAGTTTCCATACTGTCCCAACTTTGTGGTTGTACATAAAACTACTTATTGATTGAATTTGCAGAAAAGTTACAGTATGGTGGTATATATCGTTGTCATGAAATGACTTTTTTGTCTTTCTGTTCCAGCACCACCATAGAGGCGAATTCCTCCTCTTTTCACTTTTCTCCAGAAGGAATCTCTTGAGTCTTGTGTCTGTTCCTTTTTCGCAGACGCAAACAATGGCCCGAGCGGCCCAGGCTACAGACCACCGCCGCGCACCCGAGAGGTGCTCATTAACGGTCAAACAGTCAAGCTGAAATACTGTTTCACCTGCAAGATCTTCAGACCGCCGCGGGCCTCACACTGCAGCCTGTGTGACAACTGCGTGGGTAAGCATATGTGTATGCCGCGCGCGCGTCTGCAAACATCTTTATATAACAGTCCGCATCATGCAACGAAAGTGCTAACGTATGATTTTCCCGGCTGTGCATTTGTCCTCAGATAGATTCGATCATCACTGCCCGTGGGTGGGCAACTGCGTGGGGAGGAGGAACTATCGCTTCTTCTACCTGTTCATCCTCTCGCTCTCCTTCCTCACCATCTTCATCTTCGCCTTCGTCATCACGCACGTAATACTGAGTAAGAGGGACGACCGCCTACTTCTTTATATAACCCAAACACTCATGACAGATCTTATCTTACTGTACTTATTGGTGTTTTGCTGTTAAACAATTGCCAACGGTAGGGTTTGACTGCTGCAGTGTCCGGGCCAGTCAAAACCGGCAGGAAGCAATTCAAATAAATGTCAAGCTTTAGATTTTGCTTTATTTTTGCATTCAATTCAGCGATCGCTGAGGGATTTCCAGAGGGACTGCTCAACGCTTCTGCCTATTTTTTAATAATCAGTATATTTCATGGGAATCCAGCTTTTTAGTCAGTTAATATCAGGAAAAGGTCAGGGAATTTTTAATTTGGCTTGGAATAAATAGGAAAGCACTGTATAGAGCAGGGGTCACCAACATGGTGCCCGTGGGCACCAGGTAGCCCACCAGGTTCACATGAGTTGCCCGCGGGCCTGTTCTAAAAATAGCTCACCATAGCACCATATATGAGTAAGATGCATCTAATATTTTTATAGGTATTCTTTTTAAATCACACTTGCATTGGTGTAAATTTGAAAATTACTTTAAGTTATATATTTAAAAAAAAAACTTTAAAAACAATTTCAGAGAAATGAAGTGTTGCATACTGATATTTATCTAACTTGTTAAATCATTGTTGACAACTACTGTGAGAAATCATTAACATGATCAATGTCTTCACATAGATGAATATTATTAATTATTAATAATAACATATAATTAAAAGTAAATTAAGGAAAAATGTGTTATTTCATAACTTGTAGCCCTTCACACTACCCAAGAAGTAGCTCTCAGTTTCCAAAAGGTTGGTGACCCCTGGTATTGAGTTTAATATACAGCAGGGAAAATAAGTATTGAACACGTCATGTTTTTTTTTTTCTAGGAATATTTCTAAAGACGTCAACAGAGTGTAAAAACCGTGATGGTTCTGTCGGTGTCATCTATCAAATCTCATCTTTAATTTGCATTTTATATTGGATTCAGGTCAGGTGATTGGCTAGGCCATTCCACAGCTTGATTTTCTTTCTCTGAAAGCATTTGAGAGTTTTCTTTGCTGTGTTTTGGGTCATTGTCTTGCTAAAATGCCCACCCTGGTTTCATATTTATCATCCTGTTAATCTTGATGTTGAACTGAAGCTCCTAATATTAATTTACAGTGACAAAGAGCAGAGGGTTGCTGAATAACTACTGAGAGATTTCGACTGCTGACTGGGCTTTCACTGCCTTTCTATACCTCCGTTTCTTCATGTGTTCAATACTCTTTCCCTGTGTCATTTCATTATATTACACATAACTTAATTTGAAACTAATTAGGTTTGTTTTCTTTGCATATATGGAAATCTTTGGTTGATACCAACATTAGAAATGTTTTCTGAAAAATGGTGATGTGTTCAATACTTAGTTCCCCCACTGTATATACAGAAGTCAACATATGAAGTGAATTGAATCCATTTAGAAAATTAGTTTTGATTAATTTCTCAGTGAATATAGCCAAAATCTTTTACATATTGGGTCCCACTTTATATTAAGTGGCCCTAACTAATATGTAATTACACAGGAATTAATAGTTTGTTACAATGTACTTATTGTGTAAATATATGTATTTACTGTGTACTTATGCTTGATTAAATACATGTATGTAATTACATCTGTAATTAACTTTTGTAATTATATTTGTAAATACACTTTTGACCATCCCTTACACCTTAACCCACCTTTAAACCTACCCATGCCACCAAACCTGTCCATAACCCAACCTCTATCCCAACTCAAAAGCTCCACGTGTTCTCAAATACATTATAAACACAGTAAGTACATTGTATTTATTTTTTTAATGTAAGTACATAGTAGTTAGGGACACTTAATATAAAGTGGGACCAAATATTGTATGTTGAAAATAACAAAGCACTTTTATTAAACTGTTACATCTATTAAAATAAAAGTTTGCTCACCTAACATCTTAAGGAGTAGATAGATAATACATTTAAATTCGAATCACATATTGCAAAATGTAAATGAATAATATATAATCTGTCATCAAACTAACCAATACATCGAGCTGTGGTCTGTGTGGTCCTAACACCCTAGTATATTGCTTAGATATTGAGCGCCGTCTTTCGGATGAAACATGGAACCGAGGTCCTGACTCTCTGTGGCCATTAGAAATCCCAAGATGTCCTTTGAAAGAGATTAGGGGTTTAACCCCGGCATACTGGCCAAATTTTGCCCACTGGCCTCTGTCCATCATGGCCACCACTCAGCTGTAATGTGGTGTATGGTCTGGCACAATATGACTGCCGTCACGTCATCCAGGTGGATGCTGCACACTGTTGGTGGTTGAGGAGATCCCCCCCAAAAATGTGTAAAGCACTTTAAGTAGCCAGAAAAGCGCCTTATAAATGTAAGGAATTATTATTATTTTTATTATTATACACCTTGTTTTTAGAGCCAAAATATTGCAAAATTCTAAACTTCAGTCATTTATGACTTTTGACCTATTTGCTAAAAGGAAAATGTTCAGATCAAGAATCTGGAATTGAATTTGGAGATTTTGGAATTGAAATGCAACTCTCAGAATTGAATCATGAATATCTAAAGAGTCTTTTATAGGACATTATGATGGCGACTGCATGGGAAGCAGAGAGAGGGGAAGGATCGGCAAAGAACCTCGAGCCGGGACTCGAACTCGGGTCACTTTGACCACCTCACTGCTTTGTGTCGACGCTTTAAACCAGGGGTCACCAATCTCTGTCCTGGAGGGCCGGTGTCAATGCAGGGTGTAGCTCTAACTTGCCTTAACACATCTGCCTGGGTGTTTCTAGTATACCTAGTAAGATCTTGATTAGCTTGTTCAGGTGTGTTTGATTAGGGTTGGAGCTAAAATCTCCAGGACACCAGCCCTCCAGGAACAAGTTTGGTGACCCCTGCTCTAACTACTAGTCTATTGGCACCAAACTTTGTTCATATCATATTTGCGTGGACTATTTGCACCAAAATGCTCCTTTAAGACCTACAGTAGTACTGGTGCTCTGTCAGTGTGATGTATTGGTACGGCTTTCCACCATCGATCGGCTGTGGACTGGCAGGAGTAGACCGCAAGCCGCTGACGAAGCAGTTTTTCCTCCTCTGGTGAAGTGATGGAGCGGCTGTAAGCCTGAGCTCAGCGCTTGTTTACTGCACACAGCTGATCAATCGGGCCGTGAGGGCAGGTCCACTTTGGGCTTGCCGTAGTGACAAATGGCTTCTGTAAGATGTTTATTGGACAGGGCACATTCAGTGCGGCTTTATTTACCCACCGATCTCTCCTCAGATGCCCTCCGGAAAGCATTAGCATTAAGCACAGCGGCTGACTTTGAAGCAGTCCAGAAGGTGATTTAGGTTGCCAGTGTCAAGACGGCGGCTTGGGATTGTTTTTAGTTTCTCTAGCGCATCGTGGGTACTGAAGAATTATTGATTTGTCTATTTATTTAATTACTTTTAGATATTTATATTATTTTAGTTTAGTATTAAACATTTTAGTTTAGAATTAAAATACCCAAAAATATAAAAAAAAAACCTGCAAAAATCAATAATATTAGCTCTTTTAAAGGGGACATATTATGCAAAAATCACTTTTACAAGGGGTTTGACCACAGTTGTGTGGCTACAGTCTGAGAATATAACCGGCTTCTCATGGTAAAAGTTTATTTATTAAACTATTTATAATCACACTTGATAAAAACAGTCTGCAGAAACACTTTGATTGACATCAGAGGGATAAAGTCCCGCCCATTGGTGATGATCTGTCCCTCATTAGCATAGGACATTAGTCTTGTTTTGTAAATCTGCCACTATGCTGATACACAGGCATTTGTAGCTCTGCCCTCTTTTAAAAAGAGCTCAATCTCATTTGAATTGAAAGCGACAGTCACCAAAATGGCACAATTTGGATCAAAGCCTAAAAGGGGCAGATTTAAAGAGTCAAAAAACATTGTTTGTGGTGTTATTTTGAGCTGAAATTTCACATACACACTCTAGAGACATCAGAGATTTATTTTACATCTTGTAAAAAGAGGCACAAGTAGGATATTTTTTAACCTAGTGAGCCTAATTAACCCAGTTTTAAATTGCACTTTAAGCTAAATATTAGTTGTATCTTGCCAAATAACTAGAGAATTGTGTACTGTCAACGTGGCAAAGATAAAAAAAAATAGTTTTCAGTTATTAAATCTATTATGTTGAAAACTATCTCTCTTTAAAGTAATCAGCACTTGCAAAATACTTTGGGAAAATAATTACAATTTCTCAGGAGTGCTAATATTTTTGTATGTTCTGGCATATTGTATTATATTATTTGCTAGTACAGCCAAATACTAACAAAAGTGATGAATTATGCTGCTTTTTTTAAACATGCGGCATCACACTGATGCTATAAGCAAAATATGTAGTCATTAACTCAAGATCCTTCCCTCAGGATGCGATCACAAGACATTCCCTTTGGATGTTATTATTACCAAGTATAATTGCAGATGGTTCTCAGCTGACCACTTGTGATTAGATAACCTGCGAGACATTAACACTATAGCAGCAGAACATCCACTGTTGGATTGGTTAACAGTGCATCTTAATCACGGCTCGAAATTAACTTTTTTACTTGGTAGCACCAGTGTAATAACAGTTTGCTTTTGTATAATGTTATCATTATTAATAGCATTATTTATTATATGCATATTTATATTTGTTTTATTAAAAACAAGCTTAGATTTGTCCTCCTGTCAGGTTTTAGACCATATGGAACACAGCATGTGTTTTAAGATATAACTCTGGTTTTTGAGCACACTTCGTTATTATTGTTCGTTCATTCGATTGCTGGAAATTAGAACTGAATTTAGAAATAGTTTTGAAGCAAATATGTGCGCTTAACAAACAAAATAATTATTTATAGGCTAATTAATGTCTGTGTGTAAAGGTTTCCCTATCCACGAGAGTGAAAGTAGATATTGAGAGGCGTTATCTCTCATTCTCGTGCTGTAGATCCTCTGTTTAACTTTTTTTCTTGCTAGTGAAATGCTTAGTTTTTCAACTTACAAAGTCGTCATTTAAATAGCAAATGCGCTATAGCGCAAAGCAACTGGTTCTTAAAGGGAATGGGAGATGAGACTCTGATTGGTTTATTCTCAAAACACACCGATAACTCATTAAGAGAATAAGCTCAACCCTTTTAGACCATGCGCCACGGCGCAAAGCGGATTTTTCCATCCTTATATTAGCAAAAGTGGATTCTGACACGCCCTGAATGCGTTTGCACCCTGCGCTTTGCACTTTGCGCATGGATTGTCAAAATCGAGCTCCTAAAGTTACTAATAATGGCACATCTTATTAGTGATCATGTGCTGAATGTTAATCCCCCATTTACACTTTTCCAGGATTGGATAACAGAGTAAAGGCTAAAGCCTTTCACTGTAAAGTCTGTGGGACGGGGTTTGCAGGTAACAACGTTTGCCACTGAATCTACACATTTTAAGCGTGAGAGGTTCTGTATAATCATTTATTTAATCCTCACGATGCTGTCAGTCGTGCAAGCGGCAGCTATCTGTAACATTTAACACAGCTCATGAAAAGACCGTTATTGCTATGAAGATGACGTACAAATAATAAGTTATATATCAATATAAATGTAGGGCGGGGTGATGGATCGCGATGCCGGCTCAGCATCGTGAAGTTTGTCAGCCATCGGCAATGGATGATGGCATCGTCTATCGGCCCAACCCTAATATATAGATCATTGGGGCTGGTGGGTCATGTGATAAACTCCTCATGGGAATCTTCCAACGTATTGGATTCTTAAGCCTGGTTTATACTTCTGCGTCAAGTGACCGGCGTAACCACGGCGCATGCAACGCCCGTAGCTGTGCATTTATACTTCTGCGCGCTGTCTCTGTTGGTCTGCATTAACATTTCCGAAACGCTAGTTGGCAGTGAGGTGTAAATGTTCCTCTGTGTCGAGTTTCTTCGCTGCTGTTTTGCCTTTCCTGAACACTTCCTGAATGTACAAGTGGCTCAAACTCGCTCATTTTGAGGCAGGAACCGGCGGACGTGCAACAACTTTAACTATGAGGTAAACACAAAACAAATCTTTCCATCCGGAGCTCCTTCACGGGACTCCACACTTGTAAACAATCGCTCCATCAGGCTCGCACCATTCACGCGACTCTCGGTCCCGCCCAGACTCTTCAGCGCTAACAAGCCGACCAATCACAGAGCTTGCGCTACGCGTCGTTTCGACATGTAGTTACATTTTTTGAGAGCTGCACGTCAGCAACACCGACGGCCACGACGAAGGGCTATGCGTCAGCGCCGTAGCATACGCCGGCGTTTGACGCAGAAGTATAAATCAGCCTTCAGTTACAGTCACAAAAAAACTCACGGTGAAGGGTCAGCTGGAGTATTTTTAACTCGCGCAAGAAAGGGTTAAGGATCACCAGACCTCAGATTCAGCTCAGTTTTATTTAATGTTTTACATCTACATCACAGGTAACCTGTAAATGAGTAAATTAACCTGACTTTTTCATTTTTTCTATCCCTTTAAAAAGCTGTTTTTACTAGCATCACCTCTATAGGTTTCTCATAAAAGTGTAGGATTTTAAATGTCCGCAGCGTCTGGTTAATTCCTTCTCCTTGTCATTTCTGAATGTGCTGTCTGCTTTTTGATATTTGCGTTTCGTGTTCCTGTGACAGCTTTTCTTTGTTACATAACCAGTGCTTTTCCTGCAGGATCCAACAGGACTGGCTTTCTTAGTGCTCTCAAAGACAGCCCTGCTAGATATCCTTTCACTAAACAGTGTGTGTGTGTGTGTGTGTGTGTGTGTGTGTGTGTGTGTGTGTGTGTGTGTGTGTGTGTGTGTGTGTGTGTGTGTGTGGGAAGAGGCTGTGCAATAGGAGTCGAGTCTATTTCTGGTTTCACACCTCTAGAACACAATTGCAGAAAAGCAGCTCATACTGACTCTCTTTACATCTTGTCGGTGGCCCTCTGGTTTCAATGGAAAGAAATATGTTTTTAAATACGGTCTGTGGGAAGTCTTTCCGTATCCGAGATGAAAACGGCGAGACCCCCAGAAAAGGTGATTTTCTCGGTGCCTGCGCAAATATGCGGAGCGCTGATTTATATTAGCACGGGGACGTCTCGCTGTCGTGTTCATTAGTGAGAGCGGCTTCCTGCTCATGGTCAATTATTAGCTTGTCATGCATCATTTATTGCCTCATGATAGACTCTCCCATAAGCAATCAAGCAAGTCAACACATGCTAGTGCCAGCAAAAACAAGCGTCGCAGGGCACAAACCGCAAATCGTTTTCTTGATCGTCGATTTGTCTGATTTTTCAGTAAAATGTACTCGTAAAGGAGACAAATTTAGTTTGAAGCTAAATTTAATAATATAATATCTATTTTTATATAATATATATATATGTTATTTTCAAGATCTGAAGTAAACTATCTTTCAGCAGTATGGCAGTAAATGCCTCGTAAACTAGTATTTAAACTCATATTAGTAGCATTTGACATTGAATAAAGCACATAATCAGTACCTGAGGTGATCATTGTGTTTGTAGTTTATGCTGGGTTTTTGCCGCAGCGGATAGAATAGAATAGAAATTTTGCGAATCTCTGTTGTTGATGATTAAAACATTAAAAAGATATCTTTTATTATGTTTCATGTCGCATCTAGTTAAGACACAATGTGATATGTTTGTTATGTTTGTCATGTCGCGTCTAGTTAAGACACAATGTAATACAACGTAATTTTTCATATATTTTTATTCTTGTTTCAAGGAAAAAACGCCCAATACACGGTTAGATGTATGCTGTAATATTTTCTTACAATTCCTTTATTAAAGAAATTCACTGTTTCCTCTCTGAAAACATGTAGTACCCTGAGTTGTTTTGTAAAATTACTTTTATATCAACTCTATTCATCAAAGATTCCACTTAATAAAACAAGATTGCAGTTCCCACAAAAATATGAAGCATTATTGATCATAACAAAATCAACATTCAAGGCCTTTTGATCATTATATATTTACAAAATATATTTAATATTTAAAGTTGTCATAATTTGTTTCACAATAATAATGTATGTTTATTTAAACAAAGCCCCGCTGATCTTAAGAAACCCCTTTCAAAAACAACAACGAAAGCCTTTCAGTCTATTAAATAAATAGTATGACAGTACCTTTAAAAACTGCGCCTTATTGATCAACCCATTTCATTTTTGCGCTGTTAGCACATTAGTTTAATTTAGTTGTTTAGTTTAGTTTAGTTGTTCCGTTTCATTTAGTTGTCCGGTTTTGTTTAGTTAAGTTGATTAGTTTAGTTGTTTTATTTTGTTTAGTTGTTTCGTTTAGTTGCTTTGTTTTTAGTTGTTTTGTTAAGTTTCATTTAGTTTAATTGTTTCGTTTAGTTGTTTCATTTAGTTTAGTTGTTTTGTTTAGTTGATTTGTTTAGTTGTTTCATTTAGTGTAATTGTTTTGTTTAATTGTTTTGTTTAGTTTAATTGGTTTGTTTAGTTGTTTCGTTTAATTGTTTCATTTAGTTTAGTTGTTTCGTTTAGTTGTTTCATTTAGTTTAATTGGTTTGTTTAGTTGTTTCGTTTAGTTGTTTCATTTAGTTTAATTGGTTAGTTTAGTTGTTTCATTTAGTTGTTTCATTTGTTTAGTTGTTTCGTTTAGTTGTTTCATTTAGTTTAATTGTTCTGTTTAGTTGTTTCGTTAAGTTGTTTTAATTAGTTTAGTTGTTTTGTTTAGTTGTAGATTTAGTTTAATTGTTTTGTTTAGTTGTTTCATTTAGTTGTTTCATTTAGTTTAATTGTTTCGTTTAGTTGTACATTTAGTTTCATTGGTTTGTTTAGTTGTTTCGTTTAGTTGTTTCATTGAGTTTATTTGGTTTGTTTAGTTGTTTCGCTTAGCTGTTTCATTAAGTTTAATTGGTTTGTTTAGTGGTTTCGTTTAGTTGTTTAGTTTAGTTTATTTGATTTGTTTAGTTGTTTTGTTTCGTTTAGTTGTTTCATTTAGTTTAATTGTTTTGTTTAGTTGTTTCATTTAGTTTAGTTGTTTTGTTTAATTGTTTTATTTAGTTGATTTTTTTTCATTAAGTTGTTTAATTAAGTTTAGTTGTTTTGTTTAATTGTTTAGTTTAGTTTTTTTTCGTTTAGTTGTTTCATTTTTTTTCGTTTAGTTGTTTTGTTTAGTTTAGTTGTTTAGTTTAGTTGTTTAATTAAGTTTAGTTGTTTTGTTTAATTGTTTCGTTTAGTTTTTTTAGTTTAGTTGTTTCGTTTAGTTTAGTTGTTTTGTTTAGTTGTTTCGTTTCGTTTAGTTGTTTCATTTAGTTTAATTGTTTTGTTGAGATGTTTCATTTAGTTTAGTTGTTTTGTTTAATTGTTTAATTTAGTTGATTTTTTCATTTAGTTGTTTAATTAAGTTTAGTTGTTTTGTTTAATTATTTCGCTTAGTTTTTTTTTTCGTTTAGTTGTTTTGTTTAGTTGTTTCATTTAGTTTAGTTGTTTCATTTGTTTTGTTTAGTTGTTTTGTTTCATCTAGTTGTTTAGTTTTTTTGTTTAGTTTAGTTGTTTAATTTTGGTTAGCTGTTTTGTTTCATTTAGTTTTTTGGTTTGGGTTTCTGTTAGTAATGACTATGTTGAGTTAAAATTTATATTTTAGAAAACCTGTAAAATATTTTATTGTTCTCAAACATCACAAGCGTCAAATCTGTAGTTTGAATGGGTTTATAGTCCTACTTTTGATTTCCCTAATTCTGTGACACTAAAGCGGTGATGAGACAGCTGAAAATCCATCTTTTTTTTTTAAAAATATATAAGTTGTCATTTATTTCTATTTCACAATAGACCCTTTTCACATTTCCGAGTTTGTCCGTAGCGGAAGGCATCATAATTTGGCGCAGTGAATGGGAGAGTACAACTAATTTTTTTTACAGTCATTTTTGCTGAAGTAATAAAAGAAAAACTCCACGATGGTGATATCAAGACTTTCAGAAAAAGGGAGAAAATAGTGCGAGACTTAAAACGACAGCCAGAGGAGAGAATAACATCAAATTTACTGTCCTGTCCCATAGACGCTGCATTAGAAACACCTCTCATAAGCGCTAATTCATTTTTTGTAATTTCGCATATAATACATACATAAATGCATATAAATGTTCATACGTTTTATTAAAAATCTAAATATTAAAAACTTTTAAGAATTTAAGATGATGATGAACGTTAACACATCATAACAGTTGTGTGAAAAGAGTCCATAATAAAGTAGGTTTGATTAAACAAAGCCTTGCTGACCTTAAGAAACCAGACTTTCAGACTTAAAATAGTATAAAAGTAGCTTTAAAAGATGTGCCTTATTGATAAAATCAGCCTGGGTTTTTTGTGCTGTTAGAACTTACAGCAAGCAGCTGCTTAACAGAATTTTGTCATACATTTGTGTACATTTTCAATTGACCATTACATTAGCAATTCATCAAACGACAAAGAAAAGCCCTACAAATGGGCATGTGTCCAAAGTCGAGCGCACTTTCAGTGTTTTAAAGCTTTCTGGATTTAAAAGGTGGAATAAGACTGAACACAGACCCAGTGTTTCCAGCATGTCATTTGGGCCACTTTCTATGTAATTGGTTGATGTGGTAATGCATGTATGGACTGCTATTAGTTTTCCTTGATGTTTGCACTGTCCTGGAAGTGGTGGTGTGCTTTTTTTCCGTCTGGTCCATTGTGGGACTGTCCGGGTTCCATACCTACCTGATCAGCTCCAATCAAACCACCAATGAAGATGTGAGTACATCACTTTTACTCTTTCTGTTTTCAAATCAGAAGTGGACATTCATGAATTCCCACAAGAGTACAGTTTGTTTTCCCAGTAGAGATTTTCAAAAACATATTCATTAAAGCCAGAAATTAACACATGAAGTAGATCAACTATCTTTGATGTGAATAACAGCATTTCAACTTTGGCTTGAAGCTAAGAAGTACATGAAAATCTGACTGACACGACACTATGGATTTATAGCTGCTTTAGGGAAGGGACTACACTCCCATGGTGCATCGCAGATGATGCAATTAAATAAAAAACAATGGAGAAATGTTAAACTATATCAATATTGAGATTAATATAAGTGATTACATTTAATCCGAATACAGCTCTGCATTACCTTTGGCATCATGAAAGTCACATGAGATATTTTGAATAAATAAAAGATTGTAAACGTATTTTTACATGAAAAACATGTATAAATAAAGAACATGTTTATGAAGTGCGTTATTAGTATGATAATGCAGTTTACATATGTGGTATTGATACTAGTATGGATGTATATTTTATAATTATTTTTGTTTAGTTTAATTATTAAATTATTTAAATAATTCATAATATTTACCCCCTATTCTTCTTTTAGGATTTTGATAGCAGTCCTGGGGTCCATTCTTCGTACCTCGCTTAAATGACCTAAGATGATTTGGCAGATCCTGGATCTGTTCATCTTGATAATTGATCTCTGGCAAATTTGGTTCCTCAAACAAGTTTGTGAATCAGATTAAAATGTCTGGATGAACTGATCTGAGATCGCTGCGTGTGTTGTGAAGGACAGATCTATCGATCCTTGAAATCATGATCAGCAATGCAACGATTGGCTGATGGCACAGCAGCGTAATGACATCATCTGATTAATATTCAATTATCCAAGTGAGCTAAATTACATAAAATTAGTAGTAAACGGTTTGTTAAATATGATATGCAATAACTTTACACCTTGTTGTGGGTTTTATGTACCTATAACTTTATATATACATAGTTAAACATTTTTACTATGTTTCCAAGTGTATATAACTACTACTGTAAGAAAATATCAGCATTTGGTACATACTTTTAGTATTATCTTTGCTTGAACTGACCCGATCTAATCCTTTTTATATGAATTGAACCTGCTCCCGACCAGGTTTGAGCTACCAGAACTGTTGCTATGACAACAACTCTCGGACCAGTTTTGAAGAACGAAACAATCCTGGATCATATCAAATTGTCCATAACCAAATACAGCTAACTGTGTAATCCACATACGAAGAACAGACCCCAGGATGCTCACCAAATCTGTGTTTACCTTGAAAAAATGCTGACTTCCATATAATTTTTTTTACGTTTTTCACAAAACGTTTTTTTACTAATTTAAGTGGATTGAACTTATAAAATTAAGTTGTCAAAAAAAACTGAAGAATTGTGTTGATTCCACCCATTTTAAGAAGTTTGAACAAGTTGAAAGACATTTTTTAGTCTATTTTTCAAAAATAATCTTAGAAACTGATATATTGGAAATACAATTATATTATACTATATTATATTATATTATATTATATTATATTATATTATATTATATTATATTATATTATATTATATTATATTATATTATATTTATTATATTATTCTATATTATATTATATTATATTATATTATATTATATTATATTATATTATTCTATATTATATTATATTATATTATTCTATATTATATTATATTTATTATATTATTCTATATTATATTATATTATATTATTCTATATTATATTATATTATATTATTCTATATTATATTATATTATTCTATATTATTCTATATTATATTATTCTATATTATATTATTCTATATTATATTATATTATATTTATTTCTGTGATGACCAATTATTATTTTCATTAACATTATTACATGATTCTTCAAAAGTCTTATATGTTGATTTGGTGTTCAACAAACATTTCTCACAATACAAATATTTAGCTTATTTATTATTTAAAGTAATGTTTGATTATTCAGGATAGGACAGCAGTATTTAATTTAATTTAGCAATAAAAGAACCTCTTACTTTTGAACCACTGTATATTTGAAGATGGATACTCTCTATACTAGCTTACTTTGTCAAAAATAAAGGTCACAAAATCTGTCACTGGGGTGGTACCTTTTCAAAAGGTATATGTTCGTTCCTAACAGGTCATTAAAGGTGCATATTTAGTACATATAAGGTACAATGTGTACCTCACAGTACCTTAAAAGTATAAACGTGAATCTTAAAGGTACAAAAGTGTAAACTAAGGCTCATTTCCAATTCTACCCCTTAGCCCTTCCCCTTACCCCTACCCCTCGTTTTGCGTGTCCCAATTCTCTTTAGCTTGAAGGTGTAGGGCTAAGGGGAAGCGGTATACACCTCTTCGAAAGGAGATTTTTCAGGACCACACTCCAAACCAAGGGGTAAGAAATGTTCCCAGAATACTCCAGCCACAACGGCAGAATAGTTTCACCCGGATACAAATTAGTATTTATTTTTTTGGTCATTATTACGAACTTTTACGACAAACAAACACGTTTTAATATATTTATAACCGCATTCGTGTTTTACCCTCATGGTTTTAAAAAACCAGATAAAATAAAAAACACTAAATTTCACGATCTATAATTCATTATCATAACTCCTGTATAGCAGTTCCACAACATTCTGACACTCAATGACACTCAAATATAAGGGTGTCAAAATTAAATGCTTAGGTGCACCACGATGCAGACGCGGACAATTCGGTATCGGTTCAGTAATAATCATAACCGGTTATTTTGTAGTGACATCATTTTTCTCATATGCACTATATTGCCGATGCTTACTATGGCGAGGGAGTGCAACTGAACCATGAGACCAGTGTAGGTTCACAGCTCTACTCAAATACCCTGTCACAAATGTCTGGTGGCTGAGAATGGGCTTTTTACATTGTCTGCTATAATGTTAATACTGTTTTTTTGTGTTTACATTGATGAATATGGCCACGGTGTAAATACATAATGCAGTTACGATCTTATTGCCACATCATATCATTAACATAACAATAAATGTCTTCAGTGGTTTCCTGAAGATAAATACCAGAAAATAACACAACCTGAATAACTACAGCAATCGTGATCATCTGATCTTATATGAAGCAAGAGATCGCGATGACATATGATGGCGTGTGCAGGGGTAAATGGTAAATGGGCCATAATGCTACTAATATCAAAGGGTTTGGGCATTCTGACTGAATGGTGAAACATCAAATTCTTTAAAACTTTTGACGTTTGTCAAGCTTACAATTGCATTACATATTTAAATTAACCAATAAAATTAAGCGACAACTGTCTCATAAGCTTTGTTTCTAAACATTCGAATCAAACAAAATGTTTTCAGGTTGCCCATGCTAATGCACACTCGAAAGGAACGAGATCACAACTCGAACCTCATCTATGGCTTTTCTATACATCCTCTAGATAATGCTTTGTCTGATCACGCTGCTCTTCTGAAGTAATCTACAACTTGGTCTTGGTGATGAAAAAAATCCAGAATGTGCAGAAATGACAGCGACTCTTTGTTGTCGTCATGTGATGTGCGTTTGACAGGACGGACAGTTCCTCACGCTCGTTTCAAACATATTACAAAACCAGAAAACTTTTGTTTTTAAGTGTAGTTGGTTCATTTTAAAGTAGACATCGCTATAAAAGCACACTAGAAACGTCAGACTATAGCGATTGATGATTGGCTCCTGCAAGGGTTAAATTTGCCATATTAGCCACTTTCACACATACAGACCTTTCCGGAATATTACCGACAATTTTCTGGAAAGGTTGTATGTGTGAACAGGCCCTTTTTGATAATACCGGTAAATTCGTTCTGGCTATTTTCCGGAAAGAGAAGTTGTAACATTACTGGTTATTTGCCGGAATGCTGCGCTGTGTGAATGCAGAAGGAAGATTGCCGGAAAGAGCGTGTGCATGTCTAGAACGTGCTGACGTGAGACGTCTACTTTAGCCAATCAGAACAATCAGACGCGTTCACGTCCGCACGGTTTATGGAAATAAAAGCCTTTGAATATTTTTTCACATATTAGCGGCTGTATGTTAGTCAGTTAACATGCTCCTTCTTGATGCCAACTGTGTAAATAATTATCGATAAGCTGCTTATGATAAGCCGTTGTTTGTTTACCTTACGTGTCGCGTATGCCCGTGAAGGAGTGAGCGCCAGATCATATCATGTACATCTGGACATGCGAAAGTGTTTCTTTATATGTTTTTATTAAAGTTGTTCACAATACTGATCCATTCACAGAGTTTGTAATGTAGTCAAATGTTTACAAATACAAGCGCAGACGTTTAGAGCTCATTTCTGGTTAATGACATCAGAATTTACCGTATTTTGTAATGAATGTGTGAATGGTCTTTTCCGGAAAAATTCCGTAACGTCCTCGCCTGTGTGAACAGCGCTTTTTTGAATTTACCGGAAATAAAGTCGTCCCAGAAATTTACGGGTATCACTGTGAGAAAGGGGCTATTGACTGTTACACTTTTCCCCATTCAAAACTATATGCTGTAGTCTTTGCTAATATCCACCTTTACTGTATAAAAGTGTTGACCACCCCAGTGACAGATTTTGTACCTTTATTTCTGAGTGTGCTGTATATTTAAATGGCATAAATATACCGTCTATATGTCGAAAATATGCAAGACATAACCAACTATATGATTCAAAGCGACAAAAATTTAGTTTTGGAGCCATTAGCGAGTTTATATGACTGATGTGTTTCCTCAAATCTCCGGCCAGCAGGTTGATTCTGGACCCTGCAAACATAGTTTATCTAAACGCGTCCCTGTAGGAATTAGACTATAACCCAAGATCAAAAGAAACCCGCGGAAAGTTTGACTAGCCGTTACAGGAAGATAATTAATGAGCACTTCAAAAGATTTGGTTTAAAGATCAGTGGGTATTTTTTATTTTTACCGTAGCGCTTCACAGGAAGGAAAGTATAATCAGCCTTAAAACTCTTTTTCCATCATCGCCCCGGTTTATCACGGGGTTTATTAAGGCTGCCTGTTGTGTCTCTCTGTCTGCTCTGATGTGGGCAGTTTGTCCCTTTCAGCTACTGTGAGTTCTCAACGGTCACATCACTGTTTCAGATCAAAGGTTCATGGTCATCCAAACGAGGCAAAGGCAACTACAACCCCTACAGCTACGGAAACTTCATCACCAACTGCTGCTCGGCGCTGTGTGGACCTCTGCCACCGAGGTGAATGCAGTAACTCTTGATATTTTTCTGTATTTGTCCAGCGGTTGGTCAAATCCAATGCAGTATTATGCGTATTCCAGAGTATTGACCCTATTCTTCACATACGAGCAGACGTTCCATTGATTTCTAGAAGTTAAAAACAGCTCGTTATGCTGCTTGATTTTGCAAACTGATATTTTCTAGTTATCATACCTGTCAACCCTCCTGTTTTTCACAGGATTCTCCCGTATTTTACAGTCATCCCTTTAAGGTATTTCGTATTTCTCCCATATTTTCAGTCTTTCTCTGAAGGGTGGCAAATAAACATTAAAAAGCCGATCCTGCCTATATGCAACCCATACCTCCAAACCACCAGGGGCCACCCCTTGCTCTTAAATGCGAGTTTGTTCTGGGCTTTCGCTTTGTTTAGGCATGAAAACACTTTGAAGTAAATATAAAAATGGTGGGATTCCCTTTCCTTTTCATTACAGGTGGCGTCTCCCCTTCATATGCAATCCTCAAAATGCACGACTGTCAGCTGACGCGCTCCATAGTGATAAACAGACGCTGTTTCTCAAACAGATTCTGCACACGCGATTTGAAGCGAAGTAAAAGTCTGGGTTATGGGTGCATGTTTAAACAGGCATATAATAAAAATGATAACATCTAAAGATGTCGATCTTGCTGTTTTTTTTTTTTAAACGCGACTAATTTTGTCCCAAATGAGCATAAAACGTTGGGAATGCAATCGAACGCTTTCATTATAATGTTAGATGTGTGCATTTTTAAAGTTGCACCTCTGTTATTTAATGTAATCAAATGAAAAAAATCTAAATAAATAAGAGATTCATTTGTTGCTTTTTAATTCGTTTAATTCGTTTAGAATTCGTTGATTCTATTTCATTATAATAGCTATTTTTTCATTTTTAATAAGCTGTTTGCTTATTTATTTGCTGCTAATGTATACATTTACATTTTTCTTCTTTTTTAAATAATACTAATAAAACATATTACTGACAAATTAACTGTTTTTTACAATGAAACAGCTCTAAATGAACATATTTAGTAATTTGGGAATTTTTTTAAGGGAGGTTGGCATTTCCCTTATTTTCACATTCCAATGTTGACAGGTATGAATTATATTCTTCTTCTTTTTTTATGTGTAGTCATGATCGCTTCTTTGTAGGGCAAGTAGTTTGACAAATTTTTTTATTATTGCTAGTTATAGAGTGGAGGAACTATGACGTCACTTTGTAGGCTAATCGGCTGCTAGCATAAAACTGGTTCCCTCGTGAAAATTCCTATAGGATTTTCCCATAGGGTTTTCGAAGATTGTGAATAATACGCTCTATGTTCAAACACTGTTCATTACACTTATACGTTTTGTTCAGCCGGATAATTGTCACATGAAAATACAACATTGAGCACTTTTGGATCTTAAATGCAAACGCAAGACTTGAAAAGCTAACATTAGGCTATAAACAGACTAGAGCGCCCTCGGGGCGCTCGTCAGTGACGTCAGCCCCACCCTGCTACAGACGACTTATCAAGCTTATTTTTAGAAATAACGTCCATGACAGAGTTAATCTCTCTGTTTATTATATTGTAATCCACGGTATATATTATAAACTAATAAATACGCAAACACACATAGACCTTTGTGCCTTTTGGATCGTTTTTACGTGGGAAATACATCTGTTTTGCTTTGCGGATTTAAAAATGTGTATAAATGTGCTTATATAGTATTATTATGAGACATATTTAAATAAGTGTATCGCTCGCATGCACACAGCCCGCTTACCTTAAACAGACGACAGAAATAAGGCGTAAGGAGGAACAAGTCTATCAAATGCCTGCAAGTTTCATCATCATGGACACAGAACAACATTCAATATTCCTTTTGTGTCACGAAGTACAGCGAAAAACAGCCCATACAGTCACATCTGCTATACGTTTTATGGAGGAGTGTAAATACTGCAGTTAAATGTGTGTCAGATAAAGAAAAAAAAGACGAGAAATCACTTGATCACGTTAAAATGACAGTTAATATGTCTGTATTTTTACACATTTATTCACACGTTTGCATTACTGAGAGCAGGAAAGAAACAGGCTGCACTGAGCAGTATCTTCATATTATCGTTTAATTAAAATAAATGATCAACAAATTAGTCTGTCTCGACAGCCTTTACATGTGAAGGAATTATCTACACACAATCTGAATTCTCAATTAGAATAATACAACAAACTATACAATACTATTCATGAAAATACTTAAATCACAGACAAATCCAAACGCCCAACACAAGCGAGCTGCGCTCCAGACCAGATCAGCTCGATGACGTATAATGTCCCCGACGCCGCCTGTAGTCTAATTTAGCAACTTGATAGCAACCGTCTTTTTAAAGAAGCATAATCAATTTAAAAGTTGAAGAGTGTGCTGTAACTGATGTGTTTTATGTCGTAGAAAAAAACGTGAAAGTATATTGAGTTGGTGTTAGCCACGGACCTTATTTAAGCGATTTTACTGAAACCCCATTCAAAAAACCCATTGACATTACAGAATAAGGTCAATACACTGTGTTCTAGGAGTGTAAACATACAAAACAAACCGCATACAATTCAGTTTTTAAAGATCCCCTTTGAAATGTAGATTATTTTCATTTAGATTTTTATTTATTTATTTTAAGATTTATTTTTGACCTTTTATTAGATAGGTATTGAGACAGGAAGCGAATTTGGAGAGAGAGAGGGGGGTAGGGTAGGAAAATGTCCTCGCGCTGGTATTTGAACTGTGGACGCCCTGACATGCTACTGCACCATATGATGTTGGCACACTAACCACTAGGCTATTGCGCAGACTTAATTTCGAAATTTGACAGGGCAGGACATATAGTAGCTCCTCCCCTTTTTATAACACGTTTTGTATTCAATAAACACATAAAGGTGTAGGTGAAAGGGAATTCTTTTCTAAATAATATCAAATATATAAATATTAGGGATGGACAGATGTGGATTATTTTAGTCATTAAAATACAAAGTGCTACCTTGCATTGGTAAACATAAGGTAAGTTAACTTAAAGACTCATTTAACATCATGAAATGTGACATAACTTGTCATAAATCTGTCATAAACATGATTGTCATGAGGCCATATAAGTAGGGGTGTCAAAATTAAATGTTTCTTCGGTGCACAATTCGGTATCAGTTCAGTAATAATCATAACCGGTTATTATGTACTGACGTCATTTATCTCATATGCGCTATGTCGCCGTTGCTTACTATGGCGAGTGAGAAGAGTGCGACTATTTACAACACTCCAACTACTTAAAAACACAGAAACAGCGCACAATGTTACTGTGTGTGTGTTTGCTGGACAGTCTTTCACTTACACTTACAGCAGAAGCTCCTATTTCACTGTGATTGAGAGAATGAAAGTAAACTCCATTTCCCTCACTGTGGCCCATTTGACCTGTTGGTCTGACTTTTCCTCTCCGCTGTTAAAGCGATACTTCTGGATACAGACATGAGCGTGTGTCTGCAGAGTTTTCTTCACTGCGTCTATCATGGGTCAGCCGTAATCGCCACTGCTGTTTATCAGTGTTTAAACCAGGCTTTACTCATCTGTGAAGAGCACCAGCGCATAGAGCCAATTTCAGTTGAGCACTTGACCAATCAAAGGGCTGTAAGAAAGAACTCGCTAGACAAGGCTCAGAAAGCGAGTGGGATATTTATATTTGTTTTTTTGCTATAAATGCTCGTGTTGTTTAAAGGTACAGTTTATATATCTGACTGTTTGTATTAAAGAACAAAATTGTATTAGAAACAGTATGTATATTTATACATTTTAATACGAGAATTGCTGCCGTGACGAAAATATAAAACTGTATGGAAAGCATCGTCCACGCACCGTGATGAATTAAACCAAATTGATCAGTTTAGGTTCACACCTCTACATATAATTGTGTAATTGTTTTTATGATCACTTTTCCAGTGGATGGAATTTAATTAGTCATTAAAATTGGCAATATTATTATAGCGTCATTGATATTTAATGACATTTTGATTACAAATTCGATTTGTATCACTAGTTGAGGTCAATAAAACTATTAATGGTGCTGTCATAAAATTCATGACACAATTATAATGGCATTATGACTATCATGTTTATGACAGATTTATGACGAGCTATATTGTCCTGGTCAAGTTGTCATGACAAAGACTGGTTGTGATGTATTTGCTTGTCAGGTTGTTCTGTAAACTATCGATTGAAAATATAGCTTAAAGGGGCTAATAATTTTGACCTTAAAATGGTGTTTAAAAATTTAAAGCTGCTTTTATTCTAGCCGAAATAAAACAAATAAGACTTTCTCCAGAAGAAAAAAATATTATCAGACATACTGTGAAAATTTCCTTGCTCTGCATAATCTGGGAAAAAAATTTTAAAAACAAAAACAAAAGTCAAAGGGGGGCGAATAATTCTGACTTCAACTGTATATTCGGATCGGCCGTTCTTTGAAGCACATATTTCCAATGAGCCTGTATTGCAGAAGTGTCATTTTTAGGTAAACCATACCTGTCTGAAGCACCACATGCAAAATTTTAAGAGAAATGAACATTAAGATCAACTCATTGTAATAGTTTAAGCCAGGGGTGTCCAAACTCGGTCCTGGAGGGCCGGTGTCCTGGAGAGTTTAGCTAATTTAATCAAACACACCTGAACCAACTAATCAAGCTCTAAAGCTGCGGTCACACTAGAGTATGTGTGTGCGAAAGTCGTACGGCGCTGCGAAAAGGGGCGGGATTAAACAAGAATATTAGACATTAGAAAAGCGAGCGATTGCTCCATATTTTAAATTTCTGTCCAGAGAGGTCATGTTTTGATCCTCGATTGGTCTCACGCTGTCGAGTGATGCGATTTCGCAGGTCAGAGTTCACCAAGCTTAAACTTTGCACCGCAGCAACCTGTGAAACTTGACGCATGACCCTGTGTTTCCGGTCTGACGCATTCGCGTGCGTATGAATGGAAGTCTATGGGAGGAAAAGCCCAGTGTGACCACAGCTTTACTACATATATTTAAAACTTCCTAGCAGGTGTGTTGAAGCAAGTTGGAGCTAAACTAAGCAGGACACCGGCCCTCCAGGACCGAGTTTGGACACCCCTGGCTTACCCAGGTAAAAAAAAAAGTGCACTAAAATGCACTTTATTTAAGTATACTTAGTAGATTTTTCAGTAATGTACTAAAAGTGCTCTATTTTCACACACTAATTTTGTACTTAATGTACTAAAAGATAGTATTAAGTATATGTTAAGATAAACTTAATACCATCTAAGTGCACTCAACTGTGCTATTTTGAGACACCATGAAATTGAACTAAAATGTGCTTTTAACATACTATATCTGTATTTTAAATATATATATATTTAGTTACAACTAGAAATATGCTTGAACCCTAATTTTAAACATTTAAATATATTTATGACTAATTTAAAGTATAATAGTAATATATTAAAAGCATATACAAATTGTAAAAAAAAGTGTGCTAAATACTGTATTAAATGAAGTTTCACAAACTGGCCACTCATCTACACTCATTAGTTAGCCAATCGGATCGATCCAAACTCACTATAAATAACGTAGCTAAGGTCTACTCCCTTATCTTCGATTTCCGAAGAAACCCCCCATCCACCCCTTCTCCTCCTATCCTCTTTTGCCGAGGGGAGCTCTCGAGAACACCTGACCTCGTACTCCCCTCACATGCTTTATGGATCTGGCGGGAGCCCTGGGCTCAACTATCTCCGAGCTCAGGGTTCTCTCCCGGGACAGCATGCCAAAACTGCTAACTTGCTAACAAGTTGTCAAACAGTATCCAAGTGTGAACTCTTGAAAAGTATTTTGGGAAAATGTGCTTCTACTACAATACATTACTAATAGATTTTTAATAAAGTCAATTTAATGTAAACTTAAATTACCGCACACAAAATCAGTTTAAGTGTAAGTGATAATATTGCATTCACATTAAGTGTACTTAAGTACAACTTTTGGGAAAATGTACTTCTACTACAATACATTACTAATAGATTTTTTATATATTAACTTATTTTAAACTTTGGATCAGTATGTAAACAGTGTACTAAAAATCAACTAATGTTTAAAACATTTAAAGCACACTTTTGAAAAACACACAAATGAAACTCTTTTGGATGTTTTTTCTGTAGTTTACTTTATTGTAGTACACTAAAAATGTATTTAAGTATTACTGGTATTTAGTATACTTTTGTCAAGTGTACTAAAGTCCTACTGAAGTATAAACATACTTTTATTTAGTATATTTATAGTGTAAAACCATCAAACTTTTATTTAACACAAAAAATAACAATGTACTAAAAATGTATTTGCAGGTATTTAAGTGTATTTTAATTGCATTTAACTATATATTATTTTTCACCTGGGTAAGCTATTTAGGAAAAGGGCATTCTCTCTTGTCCTTTCTACATTCTTGCAAATCTTTTTTTTTGCTTGACAACATTCATATTTCCGCATCAAAAACGTAATTACCGCTCCGCAGGAAGAAAAAAAGTCAATTTCACATAAAGATATCCATCAACGTCCTCAGAAAGTCATTAGCCAGGCACGATATCAGCCAAGGGATTCGCGCTGATCTTGTGAAAAGATTTCTTGACCTCAGCAGATTTCTCGCTCCTTCCTTTAAATATAAGAGGCGAAAAAACTAATCAGCGGGATGAGCGAACGTCTCGGATAAGCCTGGAATGTGTTCAGATGGTGGTTTGCCGACGTCACGAATCTGCTCGCACACCCACACGAGAGCTCCGCGCACCATTAATGACTTTCTGATGGAGCAGAAGTGGGCACAGCATCACTGGCTGCCATCTGCTCTGTGTGTGGGCATGTCGAGCTGGAGGTGGACTAAACACACATACATACTCATGCATCCACTTCCCTCCGCCTCCCTCACCCACGTACCTGACTCATAACGGGAATGTTTCATGCATTTCCTTTCTCTCTCTCTGCAGTTTGATTGACAGAAGAGGTTTTATTCAGCCAGACACGCCGCAGCCTGCAACCCAGACCAATGGCACCAGCGCCTGCCCCCCCAATCAAGTCCAGAGTCACATGGTAAGACGACCATACCATATCTGTGCGTGTTTTTGTTGGGGCTGCACGATATTTCTCAAAGATATATCAGTATGTGCAATATATACATATCACAGGCGTGTGATAACCTGCATTTATTTTCTGCTTAGGTTGTGTGTCTACATTTGACCAATCAGACGAGGTTATTTTTATCCCCACCTCCTCAGAAGTTTCTGTTCTGCTATTGGTTGAGCTTAAAGATTCAATTCGTGTTTATTTGTATAGCACTTTTACAATGTAGATTGTTTCAAAGCAGCTTAACGTAGAAGTTCTAGATAGTGATGTGCGATACTAAAATATGGATATCTCCGATACCAGCTTTGTATGTTCTAGAATTGCTTTTCTTATTAAAATATAGATATTTCAATAATTTGAAGCAAATATCTATTTTAATGGAAGTAAAAATACTGCGGAAAGTAACCACAACTACCCTAGTTTCTCTGAATAATGCCAACTTAGTCGGACTACTTTTTCTTCCGCCTGCAAAGTCATGTGCGTAATATGGCACTATACCACTGCAGATCAAGCTAGCTAGCCACTCTGTCAGTCCGCTGGCCTGGCACATGTTTTTAAAACAGTGAGGTACTGTGGTAATACTACAAAACTAATCAAACTTCTACATAGAAATCACAAAACAGAATATGACAACATCATGACTAGGCGGTCTAATGCTGCATTCACACCAGACGCGGCACGCGCGTCAATCGCGAGTGATTTACATGTTAAGTCAATGCAAATGCGCGAATAGACATCGTGCGGAGCGATATGCGCGAATGGCGCGGCGCGAAAGACGCAAATTGCGTGAATGGCGCGGGGCGAATTGAGCGTTTTGCGCGTTTGACACGCTTAACGAGCGTTTCGCGCGAATCTCTCGATTTCGAAAATCTGAACTTCAGCGTACATTCGCGCCGCGTTAACCAATCAGAAGCTTGCTCTTGTGGGGGTGTGATTGTGATGTAGAACCTGTTGTCGGTGCTCCAGCCTTCACTGACAAACAGTTCATCAAACTCGGCTTGGCTCAGTCAAAAGCACCGCTGAAAGCCTCCGTCATCCAGGTTCAGTTTCTGGAGGAGTTTATGAGCTCACAGAGCTGGATGCACCTCTGAAAGAATGTAGTGGACCCAGACACGACCCTAATCGACGCTGTTGTTTAGTCTTCATAAAGCACATAAACACTGTTACTTTCTTCATAAAATCCATGTTAGCCATTTAGCTATGAAGCCAGAGTCTTCGGGCAGACAGAAGCCCTGCCCATCACGCGAATCCGTGTCTGTTCTGAAGTGAATTTGACACGCGAATGAAGCGAGGTTTGACGCGCGAATGAAGCGAGTAAACTCAAATGTTCACGCGGCTATTTACGCACGAATAGCACGATTTATCCGCGTGTTCCGCGTCTGGTGTGAACACAGCATAAAGAGGAGGAAAGAAGAGGCACAAGTGCTGCTAGGGCGAAACAGACATCGCTTTCAGAGTCCTTAGGTGCAGCAGGGAGGCGCTATCCAGGTACAGAGGGAGAAATTGCGGCGATGTGGCTGTATTAGGGGTCTTGGGTTTTTTGTGCCTATGATAAAACAACGAAAAAAGGTTCAAAACACTTTCAGGGGAACCGGATTAACATGTCACTAAATGTAGAGGTGTGAATGTTTTTTTTAAGATGTTAAGGCAGCCGTTTTAAGATGCTCAGATGCTGTCAATAAATATGTAAGTTAAAAGATAATTCTTCATCAATTAACAATAAATAAGAATAAGCTGTAATATGTCTCGTATTCAGTATAAAGTGACACTTTTAATTACACTACTTGTTACTTTAATTTCCCAAACAGTCATTTTTGGGCAGTATCGGATCGTTATCGCCAACACTCGCCTTCATTTTACTTGGTATCGGATCGGATAGGAAATCAGTGGTATTGATAATTTATGGTATCGTTTATTGGTAATCAGTTGGTCCAGTTTTCAGAGTTGAATTTCAGTTCAGTGTGGTTTAATTTTCACTTCTTAAAAGTTCAAACACTTGCGCAGCTCCATAAGACCCAAACCAAGCAAGCCAGTGGCGACAGTGCCAAGGAACAAACTTCACCAACTGACGAAAGTGAAGGAAAAAACCTTGAGAGAAACCAGGCTCAGTTGGGCACTCCTCTGGCCAAACGTCTTGATGAACCCAGTGCTGATATATAAATGCATACGGTGGGAAGTCGAGCCGAGAGGAAATTTATATATTATAACATTTATATATTATAATTTATATATAAAAATTAGGACATTTTTATATACATTTTTCAATAATTCTATAATTATTTTAAAGACTAATGCCGATTTCAGACTGAGTGATTTTAGCCCCGATTTTGACTCGCCGAAAAAGTTTGAGAAATCGCCGACAAATGCCTGAAATCACAGGCAAACCGGTGCTCGTTCACGAAAGTGACAATCACACAGTATGAACTATCAAAGACGCGATCTGCGAGAATCGCAGATGAGTCACCGTTACCTGTGAGATATTTGGCATGTAGCTGTCGGTGATTCAAATCATGCCTTGTGAAATTAGTTTTGACTAAAAATAACATCGGCAATCACCTACAGCCAATGAGAGAGCAGCATTTCCTTGCGTGTGTGTAACTGCAGGCCAGCGGGAGGTTGAGGGAGAAGTTAAAATCGCTCATTTTTTATTTATTTGGACCCATGAAAAGGAGGAAAAACTAGTGGAGGTTTGACAGGAGCACCTGAAAGTTAAAAAAGAAAGTTGAGGAGAAATTTCTAATTCCCTTCAAACCCAGGTGAGCAAACATGTACATTGTCTACCTTATTAAAGGCTTCTTTCTCGTTATGTAGTTAACAACAAAAGATATACTACGTGTTTTTGGTTGTGAGACGTAGTTTGGACGAAGTTTGTGGGCAATTCTTTCTTTTGTAAAGTCAAGCAATGTGAAAGTCCCTGTCGCCGATCCATCTTGCAGTGTAAACAAAGCAGCGACGAAACGCTAGCCCAGACAGTCATGCAGTGTGAAAACATGTGTGACACGACTACTTTAAAAATCATGCAGTCTGAATGTTTTAAAAACACGGCGCTCGTTTGCGAGGTGCTGCAAAAGATGGGAGACACAAATGTAATGGTTATGTAGCTCCATCAAGCATGTTTACATAGAAAAACAAGCCCCTAAAAACCCATGGTAAACTGCTGAATCACATATAAACTGAAAAGTCTAAGTTTTTTTTCCAGCCGACTGGTTAACAAAGCCCCAAACATGACAACAACTGATCTTTTTCAGCAGCTATAATCAGCAAAACATGCGAGTGTCAGTTGGTTCAGTAACATTGTTTACATTCTGTGTCACCAATGGCCAACTTTTGATGCGTCATGAAAACACTCTATTGAAGTTGTCCACATTCTCCTAAGTCGTCTTATGCTTTTGCCTTTAGGGGACGACCAGCCTTTTTGGGCGACTTCAATGAGCTCATTGTAAAGCTGCACTATGTTAGAAATCACAGATTTAAAAACCCTAAACTGGTCTTGGGGGACCAAAAGGGCTCTCCACCATTTGTCACCACCATTTTCTAATTTTGTAAAGTTATAAAAGATATAAAACTAAAAATAAAACTGCTTATTTACTCCTGTAAACTTTTTACAGGGCTAACAAATGACCTTGATTTTTTAAGAAAGTGTGGGTGGGTACGTGTCTGTCTGTATATACTGTATGGTGTTTTTTTAAGAGGACATAATTCATTTTAAATAGGATGTAAAAGATGCTCAGGAATAACGAAATGTTCTTTAAAGCTTTGATAAATTCATCTGCATTTCTAACCTCTTTTTCAATGCCTTTAAATACTCTTCAGCATGTAAGCTTTTTGATTTTACCCTTCGAATAATTATTTTGCTATTCTTCTTTGTCAAGCCTTTTCTGACCCAGGGCTCCAAAAAAAAACCTCTACAAGTATTTAAAAAAGGTAGTCGCCATTATTATAAAGGTGTATTTTTTTCATCACTTCATTTTCAAATTCCCTCATCACTTAGTGCACAGTATCCAATTTACACAGATGCCAACATGACCAGGTTGCTTGACACAGCCAAGAACAAACTGTGCCAGATTCTAAAACGCAACATATGCTAACAGGAAATCGTCTCTATTGTTCTTTCCATCCAAATTTGCAAATTTACTTTGTGCAATATGAAAATAATGCAAATAAAATAGTTTTCATCCCATGTTTTGGAAATAATTCCCTGGGAAACTAGTGTTATATACAGTATGACTAATTAACCACTTTTTTTCGCTCTAAATTTGATAAATAAGTAAATAAGTTGAACACAGTAACAAACCTGGGTAACATAACTTGCTTAACATCACTTGTGCCTGAGGTTTGTGAAAACAATTGTGGGAAAGACAGTAACAGAAGGTACAAAATCATTTTGAAAATAGACTTTTGCTCAGTAGTTTGCAGAATTATTAAAAGAACATTTTAGAGGGTGTGAGATGAGATTGGTTCATTGGTCAGACTGTGAACCAGGTCGAACACTGGTCGGTCACAGGTGTGTCTCATTGGGGTTGGAACTAAACTTTGCAGGACAAACAAAAAATTTAAAAACCGAAATTCGTTGGAAAATTGAAAATGTAAAACAGGAAATACGTTGGAATTTTTTTTATTTAAAACTGGAAATTTGTTGGAAAATGAAAAATGTAAAACAGGAAATACGTTGGAATTTTTTTTATTTAAAACTGGAAATTTGTTGGAAAATGAAAAATGTAAAACAGGAAATACGTTGTAAAATTTAAAATTTAAAACATGAGATATGTTGGAAAAATGTAAAATTTAGAACAGGAAATTCGTTGGAAAATTAAAAATGTAAAACCGGAAATTCGTTGGAAAATTAAAAATGTAAAACCGGAAATTCTTTGGAAAATTAAAAATGTAAAACGTAGAATTTTTTTAAAATTTAAAACAGGAAATTCGTTGGAAAATTAACCATTTAAAACAGAAAATTCGTTGGAAATTTTTTAATTTAAAACCGGAAATTTGTTGGAAAATTAAAAGTGTAAAACAGGAAATACGTAGAAAAATGTCAAATTTAAAACAGGAAATTCATTGGAAAATAAAAATGTAAAACCGGAAATTCATTGGAAAATTAAAAATGTCAAACTATAAATATAATGGAAAATTAAAAATGTAAAACTGGAAATTTGTTGGAAAATTAAAAATATAAAAACTGGAAATTTGTTGGAAAATTAAAAATGTAAAACTGGAAATTAGTTGGAAAATTAAAAATGTAAAACAGGAAATTCGTTGGAAAATTAAAAATGTAATATAGGAAATACGTTGGAAATTTTTAAATTTAAAACCGGAAATTCGTTGGAAAATTAAAAATGTAAAACTATAAATATACTGGGAAATTAAAAATATAAAACCGGGAATTCGTTGGAAAATTAAAAATGTAAAACAGGAAATACGTGGAAAAATGCTACATTTAAAACAGGAAATTCATTGGAAAATAAAAATGTAAAACCATAAATTAGTTGGAAAATTAAAAATGTAAAACAGGAAATACGTTGGAACCATAGTTTTTGTTTACATCCCTCAAAATCGTTTATATAAGGAAAAAAAGACCCACAGTAAATTCCATTTTACTTTTTATTATTTGGCACCAGTTTATCAGGTAATGTCAACTTTGTTCTCATTGGATGTAAACAGTGCTTTATTTTCAGTTCTTTTATGCGGTATTCCAGTGTTGCACAATAGTTTGCTTCGCATCTTTGGAAGGAAGCACTGCTACTTACAGTTTGGAGCCCTGGAATGTGTTTTTCTGTAACATTTACTTCAACTCTGACTGGTCTGACTTCCTCCTGGCTTCCCCTTTTCTCTCTCTGTCCTTCATGTCTCCTCCCAGTGTGCTCAAGACCAGTGCATTCAGAGCACCAAATTCGTTTTGCAGGCCGCCACCAACCCGCTGCTCCACAGTCAGCCCGTCATTCTGGGCGGAGGCCCACCGCTCCAGGCCAAAACCTCTCTGGGTGGGCCGTGCTCCACCATGGGCCCCCCTCAGCCCTCGCTGCCCTCCTCCATCCCTGGCCTAAGCTGCGGAGGAGAGCTGATGGCCCTGCGGGACTCTGAGATCCACTGTCATCATCACCTACACCACCAACACTTCATCAGTCCAGAAGAGACGCCCTCTCCGCCCGCACCTCTGCCCTGCGCCACCCACCTGGGCCACCACGTGCACCCGGCGCAGCTCTTTGACCCCGTCAGCCAGGACTCGCTTCATGAAGACTCGGTGCGGGGTCTGGTAAAGCTGAGCTCAGTCTGAGCCCTTTTTTAATGCCGTCCCGCTGAACTGGACCACAAGCCATACGGTACTTTACACACAGCCTCTGCAGGACGTTTCTGATGCTGTAATGGAGGCAGTTCCTGAGGACCAAAGCTAGTCTTCCAGCTCTGTTATTACTCAATCAAGCTTTTTCTATGGGCTTTTTTTTTCGAGGAACAAGAATAAAAGGTAACTGCGACTTTATATCTCACAATTCATGCTTGTTTTTTAGGCTTGTCACTGAGGCAGTACCCTAAAGCAGTGTTTCTCAACCATGTTCCTGCAGGACAACCAACACTGCATGTTTGGGTGTCTCCTTTGTCTGTCAGATCCATTACAGGTCTTTCAGTCTCTGCTAATGAGCTGATGATCTGAATCAGGTGTGTTTGGTTATCTCGTATGTACCGTTGGGGATGTTTTCATCCACTTTGAGGTAGGGCTGAGCGATATAGGCAAATTCTCATATCCTGATATTTTTAGAAGGAATGACAGTATACGATATATGTCCGGTATTTTCCCATAAATGGTTACTTGAGAGTTAAAGCCTTTATTAAAACATTGTTAAACATTTTTTGAGCAAAATATAATTCAAACGCAGGGGTTTCCCTCCCTGTTTACAAATAAACAGCTGCACAAAAAACATAGGCCGGTAGTGTAATATTAGGCGGTTTTGTAGCAGCATGCCTACCAGCCCCGGTCTTTACTTTTAAACCTATTATGATCCCCCCAAGAGGTGCCATAGCCCCCGTTCCCCACATACAAACGCTTACAACAGTTGGTTGTGATCTCCCAACAAGACGCACCATCCCATTAATTACGCACCATTAATATTAAATCTTTAAAAAGGGGTAAACTAAGTGCGCTTTAATGCATTGTTTTTAATTCATTTTCAATTTTTTTTCTCCATAATTTTCTGTTGGTGGCTGTTTTTGCCCCATTGACTTCCATTATGACCACATTTGTTTGTTTTTTTACAAAACCATGACACCATATAATCCTGCATTTTTGATTGTTGGTGGTTTTCCCTGTTAGGAAGAGGTCTAATTAGTCATTTTTAATGTTGATCATCAGTTGGCACCATTAACCCTTCAGGCCTGTGCAAAAAAAGAAAAAGCTCAAGTTCTGGATTTTATATGGAGTCTAACAGCAATTTAAAGGGCACCTATGGTGAAAAATCTACTTGTCAAGCTATTTGGACAGACATGTGTGTATATATAGTGTATAGACCATCATATTGGGCTGATATAAACACACCCAGTCCTTTTTTTCAATTTAACAACATAAAAACGGTGGACCAATTGGAGCTGTTTTCAGACCGACCGCAACTTTACGTAGGGGTGCGGTCCCCCCGCCCACGGAATTGATTGACAGCTGCGCTCATTTACATGTCCCGTTAGTCTCGTGTATATGTCAACAAGACTAGATGTGCGCAAAGCAACCGGGAATAAAAGGTCTTCAATTCGCTAGGATCAGCAATTTACTTCAGCTTTACTTCATCAGCACAGCCGCGTGTCAGAACAATTATAAATGAAGACGCGTCAATCCTGGTTTGTGGACGTTAAATCAGGTTTATTTTGTACAATAACATAACAGATATCCACACAGCAGTGGAGATTAACCTGTATCCTGTCACATTTGAGTGCAAAAACTTTGAGTTTGAGAAATTTGTCTGTCTGCCTGTCCGTGTGTGTGTGTGTCAGCTGCGGCGTGCGTGTGTATCTGTGTGTGTGTGCGCGCGCGTGTGACTTATCAATGCAACTGCACAACAAATACTGATTGGTAAATTTCTTACTGTAGTATTTCTCACAAACACTACGTAAGACCTTCTTCCTTTAAGTCTGTCTGTTGTCTGAGCAGATGAGGGAGGAGATTAAAGCACGCAGGAAGGCACGTAGAAACAGTAGGCGGAGAGGACTCGCCTTAAAGGCGCAGTACGACAAAACCACCCCCTGTATAAAAATGTATAAAACAGGATCTTGTAAAAGGTATAATGAAAAATCTGATGGGTGTTTTGAGCTGAAACTTTACAGACACATTCTAGAGACGCAAAAGACTTGTATTAAATCTGAAAAAGGGGTAACCTAGGTGCCCTTTAAAGTGTGTGTGTGAGAATGTCTGTGAATGAATGTGTGAGAGTGACCTTTACGCGCTTACCTTGATGAGTCCGAGAAAATCAAAACATGCATCTCAGCTCTCAGAACTAACAGTAAATAAAAACAAAGACTGCGTTTATGCATCATCAAATGTGCTTATAATGGAAGTCAATGGGGCAAAAACAGCCACCAACAGTAAATCAGGAAGGAAAAATGAAAACCTAACAATGCATCAAAGCCAATTCTGTTACTAATCAGTGACATGTCCAACACTGTGATAAAAGGTAAATAAATACAGACCACAATCACTTTTTATATAAAAAAAAACTCATTTTGTGTGTCAGTGACATCATTTATGAGTTTGGCAGTTAAAGAGTTAAAATCCTGTAATTTCCTAAACAATTTAGTAGTTTTGATCAGGACTGAAATTGATTAAAATATTTATCCAAAAAATTTAAACCAATATTAATCTGATGCATTTTTACAGCAGTTTAATTCTGTGGATGTTTTCATTCCGAACATATCAAAAGGGCTAGTACATTTGAACAGCGCACAAGGGGTAAGGAGACAAGGAAATGCAAAGCTGGTGGTCCTCCAGGAACATGGTTGAGAAACACTGCCCTAAGGTATTTAGCAGTACATTACTAGATATTAATGTTACTTTAAAAGTACTAATGTGTACCTAAAGTGTCAAATTAGTTAACACAATCTCACTGCGATTTTGAGTGGGCAATTCGTAACATTTGTATTAGTTTCTACAATCTCATTCGTACACGATAATATGATTTGATTATCTCCCAATAAGAGAGTAAATATTGTACAATTTCATACTAATTGAATCTTATAAATTTGTACGTAATAGCCACTTTTATGAAAATATGTAAAATTGTTTCGGCTCCTTGTGAGATCGGACTGTTGACTCTTTGGGCCCTATTATACACCCGGCTCAATAAGGCGCAAGATGTGTTTCCACGATGTGTTGCTAGTTTTAGACTAAAGCAACCCTAATTTTCCTGTTTTGCGCCATGTTGTTTAAATATCAAATTCATTTGCGCCACTTTGTAGACCCATGGGTGTTTCAGTCAGGAAAAGAGGTGTGTTAAGGTGCGTTGTTGGCGTGTTGCGATTTTGAGGAACTAAAATAGACTGTGCAATAGACCAGCTGAGAGCAGGTCTAAAGTCCAGCGCAGAGTGCGTTAGTTGTGCGCCTCGCTTACACATTGTTTAAAACACGCAGGATGTAGAGCAATACGCAAATATCTTTACAAATGAAACAATTAAAGGATTAAAATATTACAACAATTATTATTTTCTACATAAATATAAAAACCAGTTCCTCCATGCCTTCTTCATCTCGGGAGGCTTTTTCAGTTTATTCACGACAATTTGCTTTTGTATAATGTTATTATTATCATTAGTATTATTTATTATATCCATATTTATATTTGTTTTATGAAAAACAAGCTTAGATTTGGCCACCTGTGAGGATTTGGACCATATGTGTCATAGGACGTGTCTTTGGATATAACTTTTTCGACCACACTTCCTTATTATCGCTCATTTATTTGTTTGCTGGAAATTAGAACTGAATTCAGAAATAGTTTTGAAACAAATCTTTGCGCTCAACAAACAAAATCAATTATGTAGGCTAATGCATGTCTTCAGTGGAGAGCACACAACATCGTTTCTTTATCGACGAAAAAGTGAAAGGCCGAATGGAGGAGGCTCATTCTTTATCCTTACACTGCAGATGCTGTTGAATTGTTTTCTTAACTGTTTTGAAACGCTCCTTTTTCCATTTACAAAGTTCGTCATGTAATTAGCAAATGCACCATGGTGCGACACAACTGACTCTTAAAGCGAATGGGAGATGAGACTCTGATTGGTTTATTCTCAAAACACACCTATAACTCATTAAGAAAATAAGCTAAACCCTTTTAGGCCATGCACCACGGCACAGAGCGTATTTTCCCGTCCTTAAAATAGCAAAAGTGGATTCGGACATGCCCTTAAAGTTGCAGTAGGTGATCTTTCACAATGCTAACAGCTTAGCATACATCTCTGAATCACAGTCCCTCCCCTGCCGCCTAGAGCCACGCCTCCTAGAACAGCAAAATAACCCTCTCTCATGTGGTAAAAGCGATTAGTGCTTGTCCGCGGGGGTGCAAGCCAAACTGACATGCTATTTCAGAGTGAATATTTAGAGTGGCATGGTAAACAATATCAGGAAAGACTAGGCAGATTAGGCGAATTACTTGTGTTTTGTTGTTAAACTAATTAAAATCTACACTATAGATGCTGTAAAAGGTCCCTATGAAACTGAAAACAGTCTTATCAATCTTTTATCGGAAGATTTTAGTGGCTGAACAACACTTCTGTGAAGATATAACCCGTTTGTAACAACATTACATCAGTTGCATGAAGCTAAAATAGTAATCCTTCAGCCATTGTTTCATCCTTTCCCCAGCGTGCAAAGGTAACTCCAATATTGATTCAGGTTTTTAAAAAGTTTTGATTCAGCAGGTTTTTACCGATCTCGCGGGCGCGCCCTCTCTCAGCACCAACAGCAGTCGGCAGAGCTGCGTACAAACGGCTGCGCAGTTCAAATCTGCATTTGCTGACAGACAGTCTGACCTGCTAATCGGAATTATGAGAGATGTCGGCCCGACTCTATTTAATGGGATGAACATTTTTTAGTTTTATGCCTTACCCAAAATATGAAAATACATATAAATACATTTAGATCATTTACTGTAATCATTACTATTAGACTGTGAAGAGACCAGCACAACAACAAATGCTCCTGAAGACAAGCACCTACTGCACCTTTAATGCTTTTGCACCTAGACTGTTAAAATAGAGCCCATCGAGTTCATTGGATATGAAAAAACAACTGAGTTAGAGATAAATGTCAAATCAGCAAGCCGTTAAATTAGTAGTTGTGACTTTGAGCTACATCTCAAGTAAGTTGACTCCACAATTATGACTTTTCACAGAATTCTGCATGTCTCATTTATAAATGTCAAGAATTTAGAATTCTGAGGTAAAACGTCAGACTTGCGAGTTAGTAGTTATGATACTTTGTATATTGTTTAAATCCGTACAACTATAAACTTGCCACTGTTATGAGTTGTGGGATATAAAAAAAGTTGCAGTTGCTTTTTTCTGTAATTGTTTTCCATGGCAGAAATAAGCTTTCCTGGTTTTTCAGTGGCAGCCACTAGGTGTTTTTTATTCATAAACTAATTTCGAGAGGATCACGTGCTTATGATCAACACGGCTGGCTCCTCATTAGCTCCGTAATCTGCCCTATTAGATGATTACGGAAGCATTATAAATAACCAGAGTTTTTCACTCCAGTTATCTTCGTCTTAAAGCTTCCCCCCTCGCCTCTTCCACCCCTACCTCCCCCCCTTTTTCCGATAAGGCGACACGGTGGCCCAGTGGCTAGCACTGTTGCCTCACAGCAAGAACACCGCTAATCGAGCCTCCTGTCGGGCTGGTCGGTGTTTCTGTGCGGAGTTTACACATTCTCCCCGTGTTCGCGTGGGTTTCCCCCGGGTTCCCCGTTTTCCTCCCACCGTCCAAAAACACAAACCATAGCCAATCGACTAAACCAAATGATCAAAACCGCAGTTTACACTTCTCACACGGCGACAAGCAGCGGAGTTCTCGAGACCTACCTGAACTCGAACTCCCCTCTCGCCCCTCTAATGGGAGGGAGCCCCAGCCTCGAGAATATTACGAGCTCAGGGCTCTCTCCATGCCAAATACGCTTTATTGATTATCAGCTAAGTGTGACCTCTTGAAATGTGGTTTATAGAACGCACAAAGTATTTCCCCCATCCAATTCTCCATAAAGATGTCAAAAATAGATATTTTATGAAGAAATCCAAACAGTTACTATCCCAACCTTAGATTTATTGATAAAAAGTGTTTAGATATTGAAAGGTTTTCAGGGGAAATAGCCTATATTACAGTATTTCTTTAGTAATACTACGGTATCGGCTGTTAAATATCCTATACTACAGTATTTCTTCCATTTAAGCAATGTGAATGATCCAATCGAACACCGAGCTGTACGGTACAAAACATTTTCATTTTATTACAGAATACTGTGAGTATTCACGTTGCTGCATTGCAGTGGCTCATCACTGCTGAGCTCTTTTGCAGTGATTTATGTTTCCATAGTAACAACGACACAAAGATGTAGTGGAATTCGGCTATTCAAAAAACTTTAAAGATATTGAAACCACAGACGTACGCCTTCTACAGCACACATATCATGTCAACATTTAAAACGGCTGTTAAAAAGACGTATGTGCTTTAGATTTTGAGTTTAGTTCCTCTATGGAGAACATGATGGGAGGTTTACTTCCGGAAGCTGACTGTTGTGCTCTTGGCCTTTTTTATTTGAAGCGTTTGTTCGGGCTATAAGAGGGATCACATCAAACGGACAGTGTGTGTGTGTGTGTGTGTGATCTGATCTTTTGTGGTCCTGGAGCGTTACCTGAGCTGCTGAGAAGACAAAGAATCACTTCAGTGTTCGTCTGTTTGTACAGCCTGTGATTCAGACTCATCTGTCCCAAAGTCATTCAGTGATCGAGACGGACGACTTTATTGTGACATCACTGCCTTTCTCTCTCTCTCTCTCTGACTCTCTCTCTCTCTCTGGGGTTCTGTCGAAAAATATTAGTGGTATTATCTATGATAATTATCCTTTGGTTATATCTATTTTTTTGTTATATATTGCATCAAATTGAAAGCAGGTGCCAACACATTCTGGTCATGTGATTATGTGCCAAAAAGCAGTTTACTGGTTTTCAGCTACAAAAGTGGAATATTGTGGATGTTAATAAATTCACAACTTTTTTTAAAATAAGCTAAAGAGTTCTCGGTGATTGTCGTCATTTACTTGCCTCATTAAAAAGGCATGACTGTATAATAAAATAAGTGTTTGTCATTATTTACAGAAAGAAAAATTGTAACTTGGTTGGAACTAAACTCTCCAGGACCGAGTAATTCGTAACATTTGTATTAGTTTCTACAATCTCCTTCGTACACGATATGATTTGATTATCTCCCAATAAGAGAGTAAATATTGTACAATTTCATACTAATTGAATCTTATAAATTTGTACTCAATAGCCACTTTTATGAAAATATGTAAAATTGTTTCGGCTCCTTGTGAGATCGGACTGTTGACTCTTTGGGCCCTATTATACACCCGGCTCAATAAGGCGCAATATGTGTTTCCACGATGTGTTGCTAGTTTTAGACTAAAGCAACCCTAATTTTCCTGTTTTGCGCCATGTTGTTTAAATAGCAAATTCATTTGCGCCACTTTGTAGACCCATGGGTGTTTCGGTCAGGAAAAGAGGTGTGTTAAGGTGCATTGTTGGCGTGTTGCTATTTTGAGGAACTAAAATAGACTGTGCAATAGACCAGCTGAGAGCAGGTCTAAAGTCCAGCGCAGAGTGCGTTAGTTGTGCGCCTCGCTTACACATTGTTTAAAACACGCAGGATGTAGAGCAATACGCAAATATCTTTACAAATGAAACAATTAAAGGATTAAAATATTACAACAATTATTAGTACAATTAACTTGGTTGGAACTAAACTCTCCAGGACCGAGTTTGGACACCCCTGAGCTCTAGGCTCAAAAGTATATGAACTGTCACAACCAAAACAGTCATAAGTAGTTACGAATGTTTATGTAGTTACAAAACTGTACACTTAATCCTTTATTTAGGGCGATTAGGGATGCAATATTATCCCAACTGATGTTTAAATGATATGCTTATTCATATTCTTGAGTATGACACTCCTTTCGAGTATGTTGACTGAAACAGTCTGCATAGTAATATCTATGTGCAAACGCTTTCTCACTTAAAGAAAGTAAAGAACAGCTGTAGATGTTAATATTAGATATTTACTCTCGGACCTGCACAAAATCATTGTGATTCAGTCTAATTCAGCCATAGTACACTGGATACTGTGCTCCGCACTGAGACTTTCTCATCACTGTTGAAACATGAGGAATTTGGCCGAATTAGAGCTTAAAGTTTGCTGAATTACACAAACTGAATTATAAACTATACTGAATTACACAAAGATGCTTTAGAAATAATTGTCATCAACCAATACAGCGTTTAGGATAATTTAATTTCAAACTGATGAACCTTCAACTCTGAAATCAGCATCATCAACTTTGTTTTTTTTTTGTTTTTGACAAATTAATATTTTATTAAAACTACAATACATACCATAAATCAGGTTGTTGTTTTTTTACTTTTAGGACACACGCATAGAGTATGGGCAACAGTACTTTAATACAAATTTAATTTAATTAAAACAATACTCTGATTAAGAGTGTACCATGTACACATTGATTTTTAATTTCTTTAAATGAAGGTTTTCTAATGTGTTGAACAGCATCCCGATCATCACAAATACTGCAAAAGATCTGCTGGAACCTGCATTGACCCAAAATTCTCACAGAAATCTGTTAAGTTTGGTGAAGGAAAAACGTTATGGTTTGGGGTTACATACAGTATGAGGGAGATCTGCAGAGTGGATGGCAACATCAACAGCCTGAGGTATCAAGACATTTGTGCTGGCCATTACATCTTACAAACCACAGGAGAGTGCTCCTCATACTTCAGCTTCCACATTAAAGTTCCTGAAAGTGAAGAAGGTCAAGGTGCTTCAGGTTTGGCCAGCCCAGTCACCAGACATGAACATTATTGAGTATGTTTGGGGTAAGATGAAGGAGGAGGCATTGAAGATGAATCCAAAGAATGTTGATGAACTCTGGGAGTCCTGCAAGAACACTTTCTTTGTTATTGCAGATGACTTCATTAATAATTTATTTGAGTCACTGCAGAGATGTATGTATGCAGTCCTCCAAGCTCATGATGGAGTCAGACACAATATTTATTCTTTTTCCACTGCAGCATGACTTTATATTCTATACTGGACATTGTTTCTGTTAAGTGACAAGACGTTTGTCTAAACAAAGTCAGACCTTACTGTCCTAATTAAATAATTAAAAATCAAAGCATGATCATATTTTATTTTGGTAAAATAAGCGTAATCTAGAGGTCTTTGCCTTTCACATTAGCCACTTATGATACCAAATAATCAACCACACAATTAAAATTTATGAAAAAATAAATACAAAAACTTTTAATTTGAACTATTTCTGTAGAATGACCTATTTATAGTTGAAACCAGAAGTTTACATACACTCTAAAAAAAAGGAACATAACCATTTTTCTAAATGTCTGTTGGTAAATCATACTAAACATTTACTATTTTAGGTCTGTTAGGATTACCTAAATCATTTACATTGTCTAAATGGCAAAATAATTTCTAGACGGTCAAAAGTTTACATACATTTCCTGGATGTTTTTTTTTTCAGCTTTGCTTTAAAAACTGTATCAGTTTAGTCAAATGTTTTGGGTATCCTTGCACAAGCTTTTAATTTAGGCCAATTCCTCCTGCCAGAATTGATGTAACTGAGTCAGATATGTAGGCTGTCTTGCTCGCACAAGCTTTTTCAACTCTGCCCACAAATTTTCTATAGGATTGACATCAGGGCTTTGTGATGGCCACTCCAAAACATTCACTCTGTTGTCCTTAAAGCACATTTGAACTAATTTGGCAGTATGCTTACGTCATGATCTGTTTGGAAGACCCATTTGTGGCCAAGTTTTAATTTCCTGGCTGATGTCTTGAGATGTTGCTTCAGTATTTCTACATAATGTTCTTTCTTCATGATGCCATCTATGCTGTAAAGTTAACCAAAACAGCCCCACAACATGATGCTGCTGCCCCCATACTCCACAGTTGGGATGGTGTTCCTAGGCTTGTAAGCTTTACCCTTTGTCCTCCAAATGTATCACTGGTCATTATGGCCAAACAGTTCAATCTTAGTTCCATCAGACCACAGGACATGTCTCCAATAATTATTCTTTTCCCAGTGTATTTTAGCAAATTGTAATCTGGCTTTTGTGTTGATTCTGGCTGTTTGATTTTCCCATGTTGTCACACAAGGAAGCAGTGTGTTTGAGGTTTTCCTTAAATACTATTCTACAGTTGTGCCTCCAGTTAACCTAAATGTTTTCAATTAGCCAATCAGAAACTTATAAAACCTCAACACCACCATCTGAGCTGTTACATAATCGTATCATATGTGAACTTGACTTTCAAGAAACGTTATAACAATTTCTCCAATAAAAATCTCTCTTATTATTCTGCTATCAAGCAGAACAGAAACTAATTCGATAATCCTAACTTACCTACAGTAAAAGAGAACACGTTTAGTCACATTAACATCTGATGTTTTTTAATGGTTATGTGCCTTTTTATACAGTGTATGTAAGACTCCGGTTTTAACTGTATATAATCCAAAGGTTGAGTTAATATTAAATATTAAGATTGTATAAATTTAATTCAAAGTCTAACCAAAAAAATCTGACCTTATGCTCTCTGCAGAAACTCATAGACCAAGTGACTAGAAATAATCACCACAAAAGAAAAGTATAACTACTAGACATTGTAAAAGATATATCTATTTTATTATATTAATATTAAGTATATATTATTGCTTATTCAAATACATCAAGTGAACACATTTTAGAGAACAAACACAAATATATATTATTACAAATTACCAGATAATTATTATAACTAGAAGTAGTAGCAAACAGTATTCCAGGCTGTTTTAATGTTGCATAGTTCTGCAAAAAATGTTTCCTGAAGTTTCTAGAATCTATTAATGATCCTGATTATTATTGATTTGCTATAGCACTGTCATTCCGAGTCAAATCAAATGCATTAGTGCGGTCATTCTATTAGCTACTTATTCGCTTGTCTGATGTATAAATTACACCTGCAGAAAGGAACTTAAGGCTTTAAACCCATTTTTTTTATTATTACTACTCAAGTGCTTATTGTTGGATGAGGGCGGCTGTGTTTATCAGCCATTTCTGCTCTAACTGTATGGAATTTAAAGCTGTAATCTGCAATTTTCCAAAATGGCTGGAATTAGCATGGACTGATTCTGAAGACAAATAGCCAGACAGACGGTATAATTACTGTCGCGCAACCATTCACCTCCAGCCAGATGGCATGTTTTTTCATCCCTCTGTTGTGTTCGGGGTCTGCCACCTTTTCCCACCCTTCGCAATCATGGTTCATTATGTGTTACATACAAGATATGAATTCAACGGCGCTTCAAAACATCTAACAAAAGAAGTACATTTGCTAGCAGACATGCTAATAGATAAAGCTGTTGTCAATAGGATTTTGTCAGATGGGATTAGACGATGGCTATGTTTCCATCCGAGGATACGAATTAGATTTGTGCACAACACTGAAATATCGCATGAAATATTTGCACTTAAAGCAGCGCTTCCATTTTTAAGAGTCCAAACTGGCGCCAAAAACAAACAGATGCTCAGGTCTGGAGGTAATAATACTGACCCACTTTGATGACAGACTTTGGCTGAGGGATTGTAGAATGTTTCAGATGTTTAACAATGTGGTCGGGACATTGGTTTGTTCATTAATGCCATCCAATCACAAGCATTTTTGTCATCACATGATCTGTTTAAATTAAATCAGATGACTATTTTCGATGCGCATGCTGGAATTTATTCAGTATTTAGGTGCGTTTGACTTCATGCAGAGCTGCGCAGACTGATCGAAATTTTAAAGCTGGTAAGAAATTTTGTCCGGATTGACGATGCGAGGACGCCGCGTGACTGTCACATGCGGCATCAAAGTACCGCAACAGCGCTCCGAGATCAGACGACTGAGTAAGCCAGTGCAGCATCTGAAGAGCGACTGCTGGAGCTGCGATGACGACACCGATATTACACGATTGGCTGGATTTACCGCATGACAACAACCATGTGTGTTTTGGGTTTATTATTGGACAAATTAAGTTAAAGAACTATTTTATTAAATAATTATACAATTATCTATACGATAATAAAATATTTCATTACCTGTCTACTTGTTTATACACAAGTTTAATCATCTGAAGAGTGACTGCTGGAGCTGCGATGACGACAACGATATTACACGATTGGCTGGATTTACCGCATGCCAACAACCATGTGTGTTTTGAGTTTATCATGGGATAATATCTGTCTCTCTTTGTAAAACAAACTATTAACAATTCACTCTTCATACCCTCTCTATCTTGTACGCATCGTGCTTTTTAAAATACAACAAATATTTTACTGCAGTATAATCTTTTGTTAAATAATCTAATTATAAACGCTAGATTGTTTGCGTATTTATTTTCGACCTTTTTTTACACAGACTATTTACTGCATTCAGCTCCATGAACGATTTGAATGATATATTTTAGTGAATAACCTCAATATTAACTCAGTGTCTTGAATTAAAATAATTATCACCATTGACCCTGACACCCCCGAAGCTTTCTTAACAAATTAAGTTAAAGAACTATTTTATGAAATAATTATACAATGATTTACATGATTAATATATATATATTTTTCCTGTCAGGCCATTTATACACAAGTTTTAAAAGTGACATTAATGTACCTGCTCATTCTGGGAAACTTCTGCTTAAAGTGTAGGAATGTCCTTTAGTTCAATCTTTTTGGATTAAAGTGCTTTTTTTATGGTTTTATTATCCAAAATAATCTTAATCATTGTCAACAATTAATCAAACACCTTGTTTTGGGTTTTACATTAATATATAGGAAAGTTTTATATCTATAAATGTAAATAAATGTAAACCCCTTTTTGCATATTCAAACAAGAAGTATTAGCCTAGACTGATGTTTAAACCCCTAGAGTTTGTGCTTATTGCTTTGTATTTATTAGTCCTGTTCATTTTCATGCTTATATCACCCTCTCGTTTCCCCTTATTTCTCTCATGCATTTGTTATGTATTTAATTCATAATTCCCTTATTGTTTAAAAATGAACTATAGTTTGTAGAGACTGTGTCATGTCATTTTCATCCGCTTATCAGGGGCCGGGTCGCAGGGCCAGTAGTCTTAGGAGAGAACCTCAGACTTCCCTCTCCCCAGACACTTCCTCCAGCTCCTCCTGGAGGATCCCAAGGTGTTCCCAGGCCAGCTGAGAGACATAATCCCTCCAGCGTATCCTGGGTCCTCCCCAAGGCCTCCTCCAGACTGTATTCTCTTGTATTTGTAGTGTAAAAGTTTTGTTGTTATAAAAAATAAACGATGATGACGCCATGTGATCGGTCATCATGACTGCATCATAACTTTGAGCCCCGAAGTGTCCGGCTTGACGGCTCCGTTTTCAGCTCCGCCTCCGCCTGCGCTTGGCTAATCCAACACAATCTAATTCGTATGAATTCGTACGATCTAATTCGTACAATTTAGTACGATTTGCTCATCCCCCAATGACAGTCAGGTTTAGGGGTGGGGTTGGGTGCCACGCCTCCTTTTTAAAATCTTACAATTTTGTACGACTGAATTCCAATTCGTACAAATTAGCCACTAAATTGACATGACGTAAAATTCTTACGTTTTCTCGTGAGATCAGGCTGGCTAATTTCGTTGATCACTGGCTGCAGCCCATAGTTTAAGTTGAACGCACCTATTGTGTTCCCATTTAAGATTACGCACATTTTTTTAGCGGACAAAAAGTTGATCATACGTTTACGCTTACATTTATTGTGCGCATTTTCAACTATTTTCGCATCTTGCCGCTTTTATTAAGTCATTTGCTTACGTGCATTTCCAAAATGAACAAATATAGATGGATGGAAACATAGTTATGGCCTCCAAAAAAATGTAAATCATTTGAACAAATTAGCTGGATTGAATACGTTTATATAGCTTGAGTTGTAGGAGTGAGATGTTAAATATAGTAGGAATGCTTTCCTTAGGCTGGAGCTGCTCACCATATTTTACCATGGCGACATTCGTACCAATATAGAATTAACAGGAGGACACAGGTTGATTAAATATACTTTGCTTGGAGAAAAAAAAAAAACAGGATTGTTCTTCAGGCTGGAGCTTCTTCTCACCACATCTTCACATCCCTGAGCTCTAGATCTCCCATGATCTCCAGCACATCCACACTGCTCAGATCCTGCACGCGGTGCTTGTAGCTCAGTTGGTGGAAGCCGTTTACTGCCACTTTAAACTCCTGAGCTTCGCACAAGATGATCATCTGACAGAGAAGATCAGGAGGTCAGTCAAATCTGCTTATTTTTTTATACTTAAACATAATTGTTCAACTCAACTGTTCATCTTTATATGCTATATAACTGCAGGTTAACTATGTTTATAAATAATAACTGTTAAAATGTATTAGTTATACTAAAGTAAAGTTTTTAGTAACTAATAAAAGTTATGATAACTAATGACCTTAAGTTTTCTGAATTTAATTGTAATGCAATAATGTGCACCTTTTGTAAAGCTGCTTTGAAACAATAATCATTGTAAAAAGCGCTATACAAATAAACTTGACTTGAATTTTATTTCTCTGGTCAAGAAAAAAAGGACCATCATGCATATTACCAGGGAAAAAACTCTTTATATTGACCTTATTCTAAAATGCGGAAGTGCCCCTGTTTTCGCGATTGTCTTAGAACTTCCGTTTCAGTCGCCTATGGGAGAAATGACAAGGAATAATGAACGGCAAAAAAACGGTCAAACTACTTGCTCTACAAACAAATGTTTGCATGACTATACAGACCAAGTAGAATAATATAACAAGGAAATATCAGTTTGCAACATCAAACAGCGAAACGAGCAGTTTTTAATGTCTAAAAATGAATGGAAGTGAAGGAGACCGGAAGTCTCGTGCCAAAAAGATTCAAATGGCAGCGCCCGCTCGTCGGCGGAGAATAAGGTCAATACCAAATATCTACCAAAACTAGTGGTGGGCCGTTATCGGCGTTAACGCAAAACTTTTATCGCGCGATAAAAAAAATATCGCTGTTGATCTATTCTCGAAATTGGGTTGGGAGCTGGGTCTATTCTCTGAAGCTGTGATGGCTTTCACCTTGATATTTTAGCGCGGATGTATACCTGACCAGTGAGTCCTTCTGAATCAAATCAGCAGGACGCCCTTCTGGATTTTTCACTTACTTCGAAGACACTATTGACTATGTTTACATATATAAGCTGGTAAATGTACTTGCTTCAAAAACAGCGGTGTTACTCCCCTGATACTGATCATAAAATCACAGAGCAGTGCAATATATTATGAAACAACTAAATAGGGAAAAATAATTGAGTTTAAGTAATTTAAAATGCCAAGAAAGATAGAAGTTAATGAAAAAAAGCTATTTTTTTATCTTTGGAATAATGTGAACTGTTGAATGAGCATTTAGCACATGAATTCATTGTAATTTCATGTTAGCTTTAAATTTCAGAAATTTAGAGACAAACAAGGTTTGATACCTCGAAGTATTCACCAGGGGAGAAGGGAAACCTGGGCAGCGAAACCTCCTCAGATCCCCAACAGCCTCGAAGGAACGAGTTTCGAACAAAAGATCCAGTTTTGAAACGAGGGTTTAAATGACAAGCGATGTCCTCCGAGTTACTGATGCGCAGGTTTACTGCGAAGCTTTAGGAAGATAAAAAGATACTCAAGATATGAGTCAAAACATGGTAAAGCACAATTTGAGAAATAAGTCCAGTTCAAAGCGATAGTTCACCCCTAAATTTGAAAGATATCCTTAAGAATATTGGAGAAAAAAAATCAATTAAACAAAACTATGGAAGTCAATGGCTAGGGTTGGGCGATGTCGACCAATTTGGCTTCGCACAATGTCTAATGTGAAACGTCGCGATGGACGATGGCATCCTTGTCATAGGCGGAGGTGAATTAATTATTTATGAATAATTCATTAATTCATAATGAATTAATTATTTGTAGCCTAATGCTAACGTTTAAACTACCTGACCCGCATGGTCTTTGTTTTACCCATAAACAAATCATAAATAAATGAAGATAAGTTGCACACCTTTCAATTTCTTTTTCCGCGGGAGGTTGGTCGGTAAAAAAGGTGCACAACCAACGGTGTCTAAGATTTTCTCTAAAATTACAAAGTACAAGTGTGGAAGTGAAAGATTGAAGCAATGTTGTGACACGTTACCTGATAGATTCAAAAGATCAAAGAGTCGTTAAGATAGAGACAAGATTAATTAAATATCATGTTTAACATCTTTAATGAGAGGCGATCCAGCGGTACATCCTTGATAAACTGTCCGACGTGCACTGCTCTCTAGAGCTCGGATGAGCGCATGCCAGTGTGTGTGGTTGCGTGGTGTGCGTTTTTAGCGGATGGAGGGCTGTTCAGAAATGCTAGATAAAACACTGTGTGAATGTGGATCATTTTCATTCTAAAATGCCATTTTAATACCAAGACGTATTAGTGTAAACGGGGCCTAAGTGTGTATTTTTCGTGAGCGGGTTTGCGACAGAAGGAGCATCGTGTTGTTTGTTGGCCATGGGCGATAGACGATGGCACAACCCTATCGATTGCAGTTCTTTTCTCCCCAACATTCTTCAGTAAATCTTCCTTTGTGTTTAATTGAAGAAAGAAACTCAAACAGGTTTGAAACAGGATGAGTAAATGGCAGAATTTTAATTTTGGGCTGAAGTGAACCATCCCTTTATAATGACTAATAGCACTGATTAAATATCATACATCTGGAAATGTTTTCTGTATTTTCTTCTCATACCTGTGTGGGGAACCAGGGATCTGACCCTTCACCATAATGGAATCTCCTGGACTTAAACCTTTCGCGAGTTTGCTCCTAAATGGAAGGCTCTGGAAAAAAAAAGTAAAAATCAACAATGATGAAAAATTCAGCACAAGAAAAAAGAAGAGAAAAGGCAACATTTACAAAAAAAACAACATGTCGCTAGATATTAATGGCTGCCAACCACCTAAAATTCAAGGCCATTGTTCACCAGAATGTTGTCACTATGTCACAAAGGGCTGGAATACACTACAATTGTTTGTATGTTTTACATTTAGCATGAAACAGCCCATAGGACATACATGTCTCAGCCTATGTCATTGCTCTGGGTACGTTTTGCTGCATGTTTCAGATGAAAAATCCACTAGAGGGCACCGTCTACATTTCTGTGAATCTGAAATCCGTTACTTATGGATGGACTTATTTGCGCTGATGCTCAACACACACACATCTGTTAATATAAAAAAAAAAAAAGTTCTCCGGGGTGTCCTGAACCTTTAAGTATGACACCCAAAAATAAGCAACAGTTTTAGTCATGCTTTAATTAGCAAACACCATTAAGATAATGAACAGAACATACATACTGTATGGCTGTACTTGATGGTTGCTAATCAGTAAAGGTGCTTGCTGTTTTAAACAAAGAGTTCACCCCCCCCCCCCCCCCCAAAAAAAAAAATCACTATTTACTTATAGCTTAAACCTTTATATCTTATGTTGAACACAAAAGAAGATATTTTAAAGAAAGCTGATTGCCACAGAAGGAAAAATAAACACAATGAAAGTCAATGGTTACAGCTTTTCAGCGTTCTTCAGAATATCTTCTTTTGTGTTCAACAGTGGAAAGAAAGTCAAACAGGTTTGGAAGAAGTGAAGCGTGAGTAAATAGTGTGTATTTGTTCCTGGTGGCGTCTAGACTGTCAGGCACCCACCTCAATTTGATTTCAGCCATTGTGAAATCAAGTTATCCCGATTGATTTACAGTTTAAAGTAATGCTGTCACATAAAAACTGCTGTCACATGTGACAACAATTTCATGTTTGCCCTTTAGGAAAAATGTATTCAGCCTAACATGTACTCACCGTGTCACCTGACTCCGACATGACTGACTATTGGATAAAAGAGGAGGGAATGTTACAATTTAACAGCTTTGGCTAAGCTATGTATTATACTGCAAAACAAAGACACAGAGAAAGATCTGTAACATACATACAAATAATATACAAATATCATGGTAAACATACATTTATTTATATATATATATATATATATATATATATATATATATATATATATATATATATATATATATATATATAAATATATACACACACACACACACACACACACATACAGTTTAATGACAAATAATATTTGATAAGTATCTCTAGTTTTTAATCAGAAATTTATTTTTTTTAAATTATAGTAATATTAAAAGGAAATAAGTGTATATTTGTATACATTTGATCAAATAAATAAACAATTTTGACTACTGTGTGTCTATATCTATATGCACACACACTCACATATACATACATATACATACACACACACACACACACACAAATATATATATATATATATATATATATATATATATATATATATATATATATATATATATATATACACAGTATATATGTATGTGTACACACACACACACACACACACACACACTACCTGACAAAAGTCTTGTCGTCAATCCCACTTGTGGAAGCAACAACTAATAACTTGACTTCTAGTCGATCATTTGGGAAAGTGGCAGGGGGTGGATTTTTATGATGAATCATCTGTTGAACTGCATCCCGATCATCACAAATACCGCAGAAGACCTACTGGAACCCGCATGGACCCAAGATTCTCAAAGCTATCAGTCAGGTTTGGTGAAGGAAAAATCATGGTTTGGGGTTACATTCAGTTTCCACATCAAAGTTCCTGAATGTAAACAAGGTCAATGTGCTCCAGGATTGGCCAGCTTAGTCACCAGATTTGAACATTATTGAGCATGTCTGGGGTAAGATGAAGGAGGAGGCATTGAAGATGAATCCAAAGGATCTTGATGAACTCTGGGAGTCCTGCAAGAACGCTTTCTTTGCCATTCCAGCTTATTATTAATCATTGATTTGAGTCATTGCAGAGATGTATGGATGCAGTCCTCTATGCTCATGAGAGTCATACACAGTATTCATTCTTTCTCTACTGCAGCATGACTTTATTTTCTATACTGGACATTATTTCTGTTAAGTGACAAGACTTTTGTCTAAGCAAAGTCAGACCTTACTGTCTAAATAAATAATTAAAAATCAAGGCATAATCATATTTTATTTTGCCAAAATAAGCGTAATCTAGAGGTCTTTGCCTTTTATATTAGCCATGTGTGGTACCAAATGATTAACTAGAAGTCAAGTTATTATTTGCTGTTCCTAAAACTTGGATAGGCGACAAGACTTTGCAGTGTGTGTATATGCATGCATGTATGTATATATTATATACATACATATTATATACATGCATATATATAAACTTTGTTATAGATACTTACATAAGGCTGTGGTCTTTTGCTTGCAACTGCATTTGAAGGCATGACAGGGCTCTGAAAATAAAACAATCATGTTTATATCGCAAAACGATTCACAACCATCACCATTACATACATAACAAATAATTATACTATTATAAATACAGTTGAAGTCAGAATTATTAGCCCTCCCTTTAAATTTTTTTTCTTTTTTAAATATTTCCCAAATGATGTTTAACAGAGCAAGGAAATTTTTACAGCATGTCTGATAATATTTTTTCTTCTGCAGAAAGTCTTATTTGTTTTATTTCGGCAAGAATAAAAGCAGTTTTTAATTTATTAAACACCATTTTAAGGTCAAAATTATTAGCCCCTTTAAGCTATAGATTTTTTCGATTGTCTACAGAACAAACCATCGTTATGTAATAACTTGCCTAATTACCCTAACCTGCCTAGTTACCCTAATTAAGCCTTTAAATGTCACTTTAAGCTGTATAGATGTGTCTTAAAAAATATCTAATAAATCAGGGGGGGCTAATAAATCTGACTTCAACTGTATACTAATATAAATATATTGTTTGGTAGGCCTGTCACGATAAATAATTTTTGTTGTGCGAAATACAGGCACAGAAATTGTTGCCATAAGCAATTTTATTGTCCTTTTGAGATCATTATATGCAACTGATTATACAACACTATAATAATGCAAATACCCTTAAAGGCTTTCAAGGGACAAAAAAACTTTTGATCTTTAAGGGTATTATTCGATATTGATATTGAATTCGTATTGATTCGATAATCTAATGTCAAAACAGTAAATGTCTAATTACATATCTTATTAAATATCCTATAGTAAATGTCGAATTGTAAACATCGACACAGGTGAGGTAGAATGTAAATGTCCTTGTAAACTGGCTTTACTTTTTAGTTGTGAATTTGTAAACATATGCTGCGTCCCAATCCGTAAACCATGCGTCTTAAATAGTATATGAAAATAGAATTAGTATGTTACCATAGTATGTTAAAAAGAGTATGCTAGAGGTTTCCGGATGGTTTGCTATTTCCGGTAAAAAATGTAAGTGTAGAAGCGTTCATACTCTAACTCAGGGGTCACCAAACTTGTTCCTGGAGGGGCCGGTGCCCTGCAGATTTCAGCTCCAACCCTAATCAAACACACCTGAACAAGCTAATCAAGGTCTTACTAGGTACTCAGACAGGTGCATTGAGGCAAGTTGGAGCAAAACCTTGGAGGCACACCGGCCCTCCAGGACCGAGATTGGTGACCCCTGCTCTAACTGTTGATATTGCCCAGAATACACTGCGCGTTGGATGTGAATGTGATTAGAACTACAAACGCTTGTGAACAGTGTAAATAAACTACACACATGATGGACGCGCGAGACAAACAGCCAAGCAGAGAGGCTTCGGTAAAGATGTTTGAATGACTGTTAGTCAATATCTAGCCCACTGGAAAATATTTAAATCGCATTATCTGTGTTATATTTCATCTGCAACAAAAATACTGAACGTATTCACCTTATTCTCAGCTGACGAGCGGGCGCTGCCATTTGAATCTTTTTGTCTCGCGACTTCCGGTCACATTCACTTCCATTCATTTTTTGACGTTAACAACTGCTCGTTACGCTGCTTGATGTTGCAATTTAATATTTTCTTATTATATTATGCTACTTGGTCTGTGTAGTCATGCAAACATTTGTTTGTTGAGGAAGTAGTTTGGCCATTTTCTGCCGTTTATTATTCCTAGCAGGCCCGGATTGGCTAATCGGGAGGACCGGGAGAATTCCCGGTGGGCCGGTCTGTTTTTTGGCCGCGAGGGCCGGTGTCCCTAGCTCCAGAATCTGTTGCTCTCAGCAGTCACACTTTTTAAAAATTATTTATTTATTTACTTGACCACAGCCTTCTTATTCATTATTTTACCGCAGCTCTGCTCTTTTTATCTTTTTTCTCGTAGCCTCGTGAGCAGGATGCAGCCTGCAGGTTAATGATGATATAACTAGATAAGTCACTATTCAATGTATCGCTGTTGTGGTACAGTGGTAAGCACGTTAGGTTATGACGCCACCAACCCGGGTTCGGACCTCATCTGAATGACAATTTTTTTTTTTCATTTTTATTGTTAAGACATATAATACTGTAAGGGTTGTTGAACATTTGAAGTTCTAGAACAGCTGTTTTCTCAAAAAAAGACGTGATAGTGTAATTAGAAACTGAATTGGAAATGACCTTATTTTATTATAGTCAGTGGTGAACTGAGGTGGGCCGGTCTGAGGCTTGAAACTCCAGGGCTGAAAAAGAGTCCCACTCCGGCCCTGATTCCTAGTCATTTCTACCATAGGCGACTGAATCGGAAGTTCTAAGACAATCGCGAAAACAGGCACACTTCCGCATTTTAGAATAAGGTCAATATAAAGACGCGTTTGGACTTCAAAACGTCTGAATGCATATTACCCAGAGACCTGAGGAGATTTCTCTGCATGAAAGACTCGTGAATGGGAGATAAGCCTACTGCTGCTTCTCCAATAAGATAGGAATTTAAATACAACAGAAATGTGGATGGTGTGTGGATGATTGATAGGGGGCATAACTAAGCAACACAGCGATCTGTTAAAGAGGAAGTAGTAAGTCCTAAAGCTTGCATACTCTTCTGCTGCACACTCAAAAGTATACACTTTTCCTTCACAAAGTAGTACATACTTTTAGGGTGCAGTATAAGTATACAAATTGGGACGCAGCAATATATTGAAACACCAAAAATGATTGAGGTCAGGTCCAAGTATTGCACGATAAGTTGATATACTAATTAAAGCGACAGGCCTACTGTTTAGAAAAAGCTATATCTGCATTATGTACTGTACTTTGTGCCTCAAATCTACAATTAAAAAGAAACGCTATTTAATGCAATACAAAAAACAGCTTATATGTAATAAACGCTTATACATCTCAAAACACAATGCTCCAATATGTATTATGTGTTCATAAATCTGTCACTCTCACTGAAACTGCAGTTGATTTTCCTTCTGTTTTAATGTCAATAAAAAACAGATTCATAGAAGCATGTTACCTTGCTTTCTGAACTGGGAATAAACCCAATGGCCTGAATTTGAACCTTCCCGGATATATTCAGTGTGTCCACCTTCTTTAGCTCTACCCTCTGCCGGTACTCCAGCAGGTGAGAGCCGTTTACCGCCACCTGGAGGACGAAAAAACAACTGTGTCATTTGTGAAATGCCAAAAGTATCTGGATGCAGCCTTTATGATGCAAGCTGAGATTGCATCACTCAGCGATGCACCCTCAGACACAATGCACTCAATGGAGTGAGTGACGTCACCGTGACGGGTAGGGTTAGGGGTGGGGTTAGGTGAGCTCGTTAAAAAGGATTGGATGCAGCACAGATTGCACTGCACCAAGTCTGCATCCAGACTCCTCTCGAAAACTCTGCCGTTTAGAGCAGGGGTTCCCAAACTTTTCAGCACGCCAAAATGACAATGCCAGTGACTCACGACCCCCAGTATCCTCTGAGGTGGTTATAAATACTGAAACCTTGCATGTAATGGCGCACAAACACCAATAGACCCAAGTCTATTCTTCGTTTACTTTTTTATAAATGTATGTGAGTGCTGTAAATGGACCAGAAAGTTTAACCTGGTGTTATAAAATCAATCTGCTGCATCTGTTGCTATTGCTGTGTTCACACGGGGCTTCAGCGTCAACGCTTGAATGAAGGCGTGTCTGAAGTTGGGGCTGCCGCGATCATCATAGAAGCGTCAGCCAATGAAATTCAGCTGTCTAGCTGGTGTATTTGCATACAGCGATCTGATTGGCTGACTCTTCCATCGGCGCTTGAAAAGTTGAGCAAGTCCCAACTTCTGCAGCAAGCAACGCCTCTGAAGCGGCACCGACGGATCCACAATGCAGTTCGGCAACGCCTGACGTCACCCATTCAAAGAGAATGGAAAGCGTTGACGCTGACACCCCGTGTGAATGGGGCTGTAACTACCCCAGGGGTCGCAATCCAATAGAACTAGTAAATATAAGCTACTACAGTAACTATATAGTATATAGTAACTATAAACGACATTTTTTTCTCTCTTCAGTAGGTTATGGTTAAAATATTGTAATTCTTATGGTTTAATAAAAATAAATAGATTTTTTGGAAATCACCAGAGGGGTCCCGACCCCCACCAAAGAGCTTAGAATGACCAAGAGGCGACACTCTAGTGTAATTTGGGAAACAGCTACTAGAGGGCGCGGCGGCCATTTTGGAATGAAAACTCCAATAGAACAACAGCATACTACAAATCTGTAAAATAAACTATTAAAAGTGCTGATAATTGTGATAGTAAGTGTTGTATTGTCGTCTTTCAGGTTGTATCTCAGCTTTAATATGCTTTTTAAATAGATAAATAAAAAACAAAGCAGCTGCTTGCCATCGCGACAGTAATGAGATCCAATGCACGGCCGATCACTTTCCCTCCAAAATGGCGGAATCCAGGGCTGTTGCTGGGCGCTGCTGTTACAATGGAACGTTCTATTGAGTGTCGCCTCATGATCATTCTAAGCTCTTTCCCCCCACTTTGAGCACCACTGATTTAGAGGACCAAATGAGTAACATCTATTTTACCAGGAGCAAACTAAATGACAAATATTAACGATTATTTACATCATGAACACTTAATTTTTGGCCTATTTAATAGAAAAACAAAACAGTACCACCAAAAAGCGTGAGAGTTCAAAACACAATAGGAAAAGACCTAATGTTAGCGTTCACTCAATACACAACTGTGACGTTGTTTTTATCAAACTCTAATACCAGGTTTAATGTGTGAGCCTTACATAAAACATGGCTAAATAGTTAGCTAAATGTATATTTCAAAATAAGCAAAACTCATAACACAATTAATGTATCCATACACAAACAAATGTTTGAATTTCTCCAATAAATCTTCCCCAAAACATGTTTTTGCTCTCACAAAAGTAGTTATCCTGAGAAATGTTCACTCTTTATTCATTTCCCGAAGGCAATTTGGTTGCAGCATACAAGCATGTCACACATAATACACAAAAGCACATTATACAATACAAATTCTACCCTAAATTTAAAAACTTTACAGCTGAGGGAATGAATGAAAGTTTAAACCGATTTATTTTACTAATAGGAGTTCTATATCGAATACCAGAAGGGAGAAGATAAAACTCGTGGTGAATAGGATGGGAATCATCTGACAGAATGCTCTGAGCTTTGCTCAAAACTTGTCTATGGTATAACTGAGCCATGGTCATCTGTTTTCTCCCTGTTATTTTTCCTCCTAGGTTCACGATTTTCTCCAGACAACTCTTAATTGAACCCGCATAGCAAAGAAGAAGATAACAGTGACCGAATGTATGAACTGTAAAACATGCACATGAGTGAATTGTCTATATTAAAAGTTTTTAATTTCTATAAACAGTATAGTCATTGTTGCCTCTTCCTACACAACATATTAGTATTAACAGAAAAGGACAATTTATTATATTTATTATTACTAAATCAGTTCCCAAATACCTTTACTGATCAACACTCTCAACACCCACTCCATTAATACTAGTTTGCTTAACCTCAAATCATTAACAACATTCCTATTTTTGTCCTACAGTTGGATTTCTGTTTATGATTCCAAGGTAAAAACTTTTAATTTCCTTATAATATATAATATCGCCTATAGGGTATATGCCGAAGTATGCTAAAGAGCTTTTAATTTGCCAGTAACCTGGGTTAAGCGCTTTCGGTGAACTGTATGGTATTGCAAAATCAGCGCGTTTAAGGTCAGCGATCTCCACTGGCTGAGTGATATCTGATATAAAGTGGGTTTCAGATAAGAAGCACTGCATTAAATTACATTTACCCCGCCATGTCTTTAAAATATGAACATTTATTTTACCCTACTATATTCAATGGAGCTTCTGCGCTAGCCTGCCTATCCTGACAGGCACGTGCATGTGTCTCGTTTTACGCTTGAGCAACTAAATGACTGCCAAAGTCTGTTTAACGGATTGTATATTAATAACATTACAACATCGATGCTGTAAAAGGAACCGTATAAAATGGAAAAAAGTCACATTAAGCATTCACCGGAAGTTTATCAGTATGAAAGAAACACTAGCTCAGCATATACCCTATTTTCTTATTTCTCTAGGAGCCTTTGTTTGAAGATACGGTCTGTCCGCATATGTACTCTGTACTCATTAGTCAGTTGGCCCAACAAATGGTGATTGGTCTGAACTCCATGGCCTATCAGGACATAATAAAAGGTATCTGGTGCTTGGCAGGTCGTATAATTTGGAAAAAAAAAACCTCAGATAAACAACACCACATGACATAACGCACCGTGCCATTATTTACTTAACAATATCAGAAAGACATGATGGAAAAGTCATAGACGATAAATTTAGGATACCCTATTCAGCTGCCTGTGTAGAGCAACAACTCCTTAAACAAAACTTTTTTTGTATGACTTTAGCCTCTCTGACAGTTCTGGTATTATTTTGGTCAACTAGTTTATTGAGGTTTGTGGTCGTTAGTTTTGCTTTTTTCAAGCTCTCACCACAGTGTTTTAGCCAGGATGAGTTCTGGACTCGGACTGGACTAATGAACATCTTGGGCCCTGTCATATACTCACAAAGCACCATGTGTGCTTTAGGCATGGGACGATAACCGTTTTCAAGGTATAACGTGGTTTGGAAAAGTCAAGGCTTTTTAAACCACCAACATTTTCTGTAATACCATTTCTAAGGTATGAGTAGGAATTATTTTGGGTGTATCATAACTAATTTTTTTCTTGTCGGCTTAGTCCCTTTATTAATCCGGGGTCGCCACAGTGGAATGAACCGCCAACTTATCCAGCACGTTTTTACGCAGCGGATGCCCTTCCAGCTGCAACCCATCTCTGGGAATCATCCACATACACATTCACACACACACACACACTCATACACTACGGACAATTTAGCCTACCCAATTCACCTGTATACCGCATGTCTTTGGACTGTGGGGGAAACCGGAGCTCCCGGAGGAAACCCACGCGAAGGCAGGGAGAACATGCAAACTCCACACAGAAACGCCAACTGAGCCGAGATTTGAACCAGCGACCCAGCGACCTTCTTGTTGTGAGGCGACAGCACTACCTACTGCGCCACTGCCTCGCCTGCATCATAACTAAAACCTTAATATATGAAATAAAAAATAATAAATTTTTAGCTTGTATTTAATGTTTACAATGCAAATCAAATTAGATCCACTTTATTGGGTAAACAAAGCAAGTCTCTCATATAATATATTTGCTAAAAGACAGAACATATTACTTTATAAACTGTATTGTAAATAAACCATATGAATATTTTCATATTAGTCAATAATATTACTGAAATTAGTTTAAAAACTGAATAAATTTATATTGACACACATTTACAAAAGTAAAAAGACAATCAATAATGGGCTAAAAATTCTGCGCGCGCAATATTTTTTTTATTATATCCAAAAGATGCCATTTTAAAGTGTAAAGAAATCTTTATATTTAAAACTAATAAAGACAGCAGAAGTCAAGGATTCATTTGAATTATTTAGCCTGACATGTTTACTGTTCCAAAATATTACAAATCTTTTAAATAATTAAATATATTGTGTTCAAAGGGGGAAAAAAGTTTAATTTTTTTTACCCAGACATTTAAAAATAATATATTTTAAAGCAATGAGCATGATAACGTAAAACCATGATACTTTTATTCAAGGTTATCATACCATTAGAATCTTATACCGTCCCATGCCTAGTGTGCTGCTAATTTTTTTAGCTAGTTTGCACGTTGTTTAAATAGCAAATGCATTTGAACCTTTGGGTCTGTAAAGGAGGTGTGTTAAAATTTCCTTGCTCTGTTAAACATCATTTGGAAAAAAAAAAAATCAAAGGGGGTCTAATAATTCTAGCTCCATCTGTAGATATAAAAACTGCCACCTCCTCCCATGCCTTCTTCACCTCAGGGGGCTTTGGTGTTGTCAAGCTGTGTTGTAGCAATTTTATTCATGACAATTTACATTTGTTTAGTGTTATTATTAATATAACTTTATTATATGCATAATTATATTAGTTTTTTGTTTAGATAAGTCCACCTGTCGGTTTTTAGAGAAGTCTGCATCATCATATAAGGGCATAGGAATA